ATCTCAGCAGAGTAAACAGGCAGAAACTGCCTGATTAATGATTAACGCACCTGTCAGACAAAACTGAGGGCCAAATTAATTATTGATGGCTGACCTAAAATCATGAGACCCTCGGTCCACCTACCCCATGGTGTTACCATGGCAACCTGTAAAGATTCCAGTCCTAAATCCTCTCAGCAGTGAAGCTTCGTCAGAAACTGAAGCAGCAGAGTTCAAAGGTCATGAAGGGAAGCAGAGAGAGGAAGCAGACTTGAAGCAGACGAGTCCTTGTCACTTTGGCAGGAAGTAAAGAAAAAAAAGAAACAAAGCTTGTGGAAGATGAGGTCACATTTCCAGGATGTTCAACAGTAAACATGTTCTAGAAGTCAGAACTTTAAACAGGAATCTGATTAAATGCGGTCTGTTTAACATAAGATCTCTTTCCTCTAAAAGTCTACTAGTTAATGACTTGATCTGTGATAATCACATTGACTTGTTTTGCCTTACAGAAACCTGGCTGCAGCAAGAGGATTATGTGAGCATAAATGAGGCAACTCCTTCAAGCTATTTAAATTTTCACATCCCCAGAAGTTCTGGGCGAGGAGGAGGAGTAGCAACAATCTTCCAGTCTGACTTACTGATTACTCCCAAAACAATTAATACCTACAACTCTTTGAACATTTAACCCTTAATTTCCCTGATCCAAATTTCAAGGCAAGAAAACCTCTTCTTTTTGTAACTTTGTATTGTCCACCAGGTCCTTACTCTGAATTTTTAGATGAGTTTTCAGGGTTCCTTTCTGATTTGGTATTAAATACTGACAGGGTCATCATAGTGGGAGATTTTAACATCCATGCTGACATTAGAAATAGAAAATCCCTTTATTGTCAAATAAAGGGGAAACTGTTATAGTGGAAAAGGTCACACAATGTGGACCTTAGAAAAGTTTATAAAAATAACAGATTGGAAAATCAAAGAAATAGAGCAATAGATTGTAAAGTGTTTTAACTGGAGAATAAATAACCAACATCCAGCTATGGACATTTTTTTTACAGTAAATTGAAAATAGCAGCAACATCAGAGATGTGCAGAATGACAGCAGCAGGTTATTTAACTGACTGAGGTAGAAACTGAGCAGAATCAGCCTGAATGGAAGAACTGGTTGAGGTTACTGGGAACAGTGGTGGTTCTAGAGTCTTCCAGCTGCTGGGAGGAAGGATCTGTGATAACGCTCCCTGGTGCATGGGGGGCAGGGGATCCGTCTGTTTCCCACCTCCTGCTTTGAGTCCAGAGCCTCAGTGTTGGGAGTCCAGCCCAGTTTGTTCTCCAGGTGAACACTGAGGTAGAGTCCACTACCTCACTGTCCGTCCCTGGATGTCCACCGGTGGCAGTGGGGTGGAAGTCCACCTCTAGCTCCTTGGTTTTCCCTGCATTAATCATTAATCTGCTGGAACAGAGTTCTGTCTGTCCTCTGAGCGTCTCCACCTGAGATGAGGCCAACTATGGCAGAAAGGTCAGAGAAGGTCGGAGGAGGCGGCGTGGGGAGCTGATGGAGACGTCTGCAGAGGTGAAGAGGAACGGTTCCAGTTCCCTGTGGGACCCCAGTTCTGCAGACCAACCTATCAGAGGCAGCTACTGAAGGCGGTCGCTAAGCTGCTATATCTATATTAGAAGCTTCTAGCTGTCTTCAAAATGTGAATAGACCCACAAATTCTCCATACTGCAGAGTTTGTACCGTATGACTTAGAAGGTGAAGAAATAACAGCATTCTATCTTCATACTGAAGCATATTTTAACATGATAACTCAGCGCCCTCTGCTGGAACCAACCCAACACTACAGCTGAATCTGTCCCAACAGGAAAACTCCAAACCTCTTCTCAGCCGAACAACCTGAAAGCCATAAATCTCCTCCGTCATCGACTACGTCTCACATGTCTCATATGTCTCTCATCCACATGCACAGAGCTGTTAGTAATCAGGACTTTAAATCCCTTTCCTGTGATTTATTCTGGGTTCCAGTGGTAACTTTGTCAGAACTGAAATTCTCCAGGAAAAACTGGGGCCTCAAAAGGAAGAAGATGATGATGATGCTGCTGTAGTAGGAAAAAAGTATCAGTAGTAATAGTAACTATTTCCTCCAGTTAAATAAACAGATCGTAACATTTCAGTCAGGCTGCATTTTATTTTATCTTTGCAGAGAAATCAGTTCATCACACGCTGCTTATTGCTCGGTTATCAGACCAGTTCTGATCGTCTTCATTAATTAAATTAATCAGAGTCTAAACTAATTCCAGACACTTTGGTTAAACAGTAAAATGTTATGAATAAACCTGAGAAAGAATCTGGTTTGTTATAGAAGTTATATCTGGTCTACAGACATCCAGACTCTGGCATCGCAGGTTAAACGTTGATCATAAAGGATTTTATCTTTGTTTAATCGATAATAAAACAAGGAAAATTAGTGAATGTATGTAAAGAAAACTAAGAAAGTAACTATTGATAAAATAATATAAAAAATGCACACCTGCAATCAGTGGAGAAAGTTAAATGATTATAATAAACGGAAAAATGATGGAAAAGATCAAATCTAAAATATGTTGCCAATAAATGGAGCAATTAAATCACATCCTAGATGATAAAAACATTAAAATGTTTTTCCCCATTATGAAATTTTTCATGGTAAAAGTTTGAAAAAGTATTTGCTGAGAATTTTAAAAGAATAAAATAATAATTATTAATTCTTATCATTATCACCCTTTTTGTTTCCCTGGAAACAACAGAATCCTTCATCTCTATAAAGTATAAGTTAAATTATTAACCTCATTATGAGAAAAAAAAGAATAATCTCAAATATTAAAATCATAACTCAGAATCAGGTTCAGTCAAAGCAACATGTGAGCAGCTGGTCCCCTACTGATGTGTTGATTAACCAATCAGAGGGGATTATTCTGAGCTCTTCCTGGTTCCTTCCTGATGAGCTCTGATCTGTTGATGTCTTTAAGCCCCGCCTCCTCCTGCTGAAGGATGGCTGAGATGGTCCTCCATCAGGATCTCCAGCACCTTGGTCCGTCTGTAAAGCCGTCTCTAAGGGAGAAAATGTCCTGTAGGTCATTTTAATGTGTCGCCTGTCAGTCCCAGTCTGGCCAGAGGTCAGAGGTCAGGTCCGTTCTGTGGTCCAGGAACGGGTCGACCCGTCAGGAGCTCATGGAGGAAAACTGGGAGTCAAAGTTACCAACATGCTGAATTAAAGGAGCTGAGGGAAGGAAAGATCAGATGTTATCTGAGCCGTTCACAAACAATAGGAGATCAAATAAATTAATGAAGCTTAAAGAACTTTAGATTAAAATCTGAACTTTGTCACAAATCTTTGAATTATTCCATCATTTCAAACTGACCCAGTAAATTTAATTCCTTATATTCGGTACCGTTATCACTCCAAACAAACTCCTCAGCAGAGGAGGGAGGGAGGACCTGCAGGAGGAGGAGCTGCAGCGCTGTAAACGAGGGGAGACGCTGCAGCTCCTCCTCCTGCAGCTCCTCCTCCTGCAGCTCCTCCTCCTGCTGCTTCCAGCAGACATGATGTGGAAGAAGAATAAAGGTTTTCCATCTGATTTGAAGATCGATGTTTCCAAAGTGAAAAACCAAACCAGTGGAACCAGAAGCTGAACCATCAACAAACATCAACTAAGCTGGTTTTTCCCAAACGCTCATCAGACGGTCAGGCTGAGGTGTTCAAACTTCATCCAGACGTCGTTTCTGTTCCTGCTGCTAAAAATTACCTAATAGATCATTTTCCTTTATTAGGCCATTTTATTCCCACATTTATTCACTTTACTGGTTTAGTCATAATTTAGTATTTTATTTAGGTCGTTTATTTATTCTGCTCTCAATTATCAACCCAGATGGAAAAATAATCAGCATCTATTTGGATCCTTATTAGTTTAGCTTTGCTGTTTTTCTCGTTTTATCTTCTTTTCAGTCTTTTTCTTCATCAGATCAAATAATCGGTTCTGTTGAAAAAAACGACTTAAAATTTCAGTCAATTTAACCTCCAGATAAATCTGAGCTACGGATTCATTAAGAATAGTTAGATGTGGAGCGGCAGGTGGAGCGGCGGGTGGAGCGGCGGGTGGAGCAGCGGTTAGATGAACGATCAATCTACGGAGGTCCTCGATGCGGCTGACCCGGGTTTGAATGGTCGATTTTACAGCCAGCAACAAGTTTCTCTGGACTTCTAGAAACATCTGTTGGTGGAAAAGTGTCAGAAGAAGCTAACTTAGGTTAGCATAACGGGATTAAAATGATCAAGATGATAATTATTATTTATTTTGTTGACATCTCATTACTAATACAGACCTGGACATAACTATAGAGTTGTGCTGCTATAGGCTTAGACTGCTGGAGGACATAGGGACCCCTTTTTCATCATTCTGCTTCATTCTATCTCTATTCTCCCACTCTGCAGAATCTGTTAGTTCAATCTCTAACGTTCTGCTCTCTCTGCTTTTTCTCATAGTAGCTTCATCTGGTCTGTTCCTGTTTGGCTGTGACTCCATCCTGGAGAGAAATATCAGCTGTGCTGCTGCCATCAACACCTTTGTTTCTAGATGTTGGAGCTTGGCCTGTTTTCCAGTGTAGTCCTGTTTCTCTGACTGTGACTAACTGGAGAGAAATATCATCCTAACCACCTGCAGCCGCTCTATTCCTCCAACCTGTAGATCCTTCTGATGCTGCCTCTGCTTTGACTAAATGAAATGTTCAGTTCAAGCTTCTCTTTCTTCCTGCCACTAAACTTTCCATTAAACCTTTTTAGAGAACTGACAGCTGGTAGTGGCAGCGTCATGCTGTGGGAATCTGGTCGAATGGAGGGTTGGTCTCTGTGGAGCTGATGGCTCGTATGAATCATTGACGTTTATTAGTGTTTGAAAGCAGAGAGGAAGAGTCTGATTATGACTCCTCCCCCCTGTCCAGGTGTGTCCAGGTGTGTCCAGGTGTGTCCAGGTGAGACACTGACACTCAGTCTGTCCTCTGCTCCGTTTATTGTGGTTTTTGGCTGCTAAACATTTCATAATTACAAACATCTGTAACTGATTCTGGAAGAATAAAAGCAGTAGTGCCCAGGTGTGACTCCGCCCCCATCCGACCTGGAGCAGGGGGCGGAGTCAGATTAGAGATGGAGGGGGGGGGGGATAAAGATCATCACAAATAAAAGATTATTTTCTACAATAACAACAATGATGATGATGATGTGCAAGTTTAACAAAACGTTAAAATAATTAATACAGTGTTTTTCCCTCAGAGTGAGACCTCCCGCCGCTAACCCACGCCGAAGCTAAGCGGCGAGAGGGGAGGAAGAACAGGAAGTGACTGGTCCCTCAGCGAGCGCTAAAACCAGGAAGGGGCGGGGCTTCCCAGCATCCAATTAAAAGCAGCAGAATCACTCCACCATCATAAAACCCAAAGGTAAAAACAGTCTCAAACGCTGCGGGGGGCGGGGCCTAAAGCGGTGTGGGGGCGGGGCTCAGGGCTCCAAGTCCAAACTGTCCAGGGTCAGCTGGCTGCGGTGGGGGGAGTTTGGGCTGGGGGGGCTGCTGGGGTTGGAGCTGTTGGAGGGCGTCGAGTGTTTGGTGGAGTCCGAGTCCGGCTGGGCGAGCGACACCGGCAGCACATGGAGAGAGAGAGAGAGAGAGAGAGAGAGAGTGAGTCAGGGCGGGGCGGCTCCCAGGAACCATCAGAGGAACATGGCAGCTTCTACCTCCCGGTCCGGATCCTGGTCCAGGTCGCCGGTGCTGCGGCTCGAAGCTCCTCCACTGAAATCTGAACCAGAGGAGAAGGTCAGAACGGACCTAGCCGCCCGCCGCCCGGCCCGAACAAAACCAGCCGCCCGGCCCGAACGACCATCAGAACACCACAGCAGGGCTGAGCTCAATTCATGGCAGTGGCGGCGTAGCGACAGTCCCGGTGGGTCGTCAGGCTGACATGACAGGAAGTAGTTCATCTGCCAATAAGAGGCCAGTGTCAGTACCACTTGCTGCCACTAGGCTGTCAGGCTCTGCTGGCACCGGTCACTAGCGTGGCAGTCCGGCCTTCCAGCCAGTAGGCGGCCCGATCGGCTCCCAGGTTAAGGGGCTGCAGGAGCCGTTATTAATTATAAACGTCATTAAAACTCTTATAACGTCACTTTTACACAAAGACCAGAGGCTCCGCCTCCATTTAGGCCATTAGTACCAAAGTAAATCACTTCATTAAAGGGTTCAAACATGTTAATAACCTTCTGGTTTTAAAACAGTATTTTACTGTCAACTGGCCAGGGACACCTAGTGGCAGCAAGTGGTAATGCCACAGGCCTCTTATTGGCAGATGGACTATTTCCTTCCATCAAGGAAACTTTAGAAAGTAGTTTATTAAACAATAAAAGCACATTAAAACATCAGCCGCGTCAGGCGGTAACACGCCGCGTCAGCCGGTAACACGCCGCGTCAGGCGGTAACACGCCGCGTCAGGCGGTAACACGCCGCGTCAGGCGGTAACACGCCGCGTCAGGCGATAATACGCCGCGTCAGGCGATAACACGCCGCGTCAGGCGGTAACACGCCGCGTCAGGCGGTAACACGCCGCGTCAGGCGGTAACACGCCGCGTCAGGCGGTAACACGCCGCGTCAGGCGGTAACACGCCGCGTCAGGCGGTAACACGCCGCGTCAGCCGGTAACACGCCGCGTCAGGCGGTAACACGCCGCGTCAGGCGATAATACGCCGCGTCAGGCGATAATACGCCGCGTCAGGCGATAATACGCCGCGTCAGGCGGTAACACGCCGCGTCAGCCGGTAACACGCCGCGTCAGGCGGTAACACGCCGCGTCAGGCGGTAACACGCCGCGTCAGGCGGTAACACGCCGCGTCAGGCGATAATACGCCGCGTCAGGCGGTAACACGCCGCGTCAGGCGGTAACACGCCGCGTCAGGCGGTAACACGCCGCGTCAGCCGGTAACACGCCGCGTCAGGCGGTAACACGCCGCGTCAGCCGGTAACACGCCGCGTCAGGCGGTAACACGCCGCGTCAGGCGGTAACACGCCGCGTCAGGCGATAATACGCCGCGTCAGGCGATAATACGCCGCGTCAGGCGGTAACACGCCGCGTCAGGCGGTAACACGCCGCGTCAGGCGGTAACACGCCGCGTCAGGCGGTAACACGCCGCGTCAGGCGATAATACGCCGCGTCAGGCGGTAACACGCCGCGTCAGGCGGTAACACGCCGCGTCAGGCGGTAACACGCCGCGTCAGCCGGTAACACGCCGCGTCAGGCGGTAACACGCCGCGTCAGGCGGTAACACGCCGCGTCAGGCGGTAACACGCCGCGTCAGGCGGTAACACGCCGCGTCAGGCGGTAACACGCCGCGTCAGGCGGTAACACGCCGCGTCAGGCGGTAACACGCCGCGTCAGGCGGTAACACGCCGCGTCAGGCGATAATACGCCGCGTCAGGCGATAATACGCCGCGTCAGGCGGTAACACGCCGCGTCAGCCGGTAACACGCCGCGTCAGGCGGTAACACGCCGCGTCAGGCGGTAACACGCCGCGTCAGGCGGTAACACGCCGCGTCAGGCGATAATACGCCGCGTCAGGCGGTAACACGCCGCGTCAGGCGGTAACACGCCGCGTCAGGCGGTAACACGCCGCGTCAGGCGGTAACACGCCGCGTCAGGCGGTAACACGCCGCGTCAGGCGATAATACGCCGCGTCAGCCGGTAACACGCCGCGTCAGGCGGTAACACGCCGCGTCAGGCGGTAACACGCCGCGTCAGGCGGTAACACGCCGCGTCAGGCGGTAACACGCCGCGTCAGGCGGTAATACGCCGCGAAAAGTATTACGCCGCGTCAGGCGGTAACACGCCGCGTCAGGCGGTAACACGCCGCGTCAGGCGGTAACACGCCGCGTCAGGCGGTAACACGCCGCGTCAGGCGATAATACGCCGCGTCAGGCGGTAACACGCCGCGTCAGCCGGTAACACGCCGCGTCAGGCGGTAACACGCCGCGTCAGGCGGTAACACGCCGCGTCAGGCGGTAACACGCCGCGTCAGGCGATAATACGCCGCGTCAGGCGGTAACACGCCGCGTCAGCCGGTAACACGCCGCGTCAGGCGGTAACACGCCGCGTCAGGCGGTAATACGCCGCGAAAAGTATTACGCCGTGTCAGGCGGTAACACGCCGCGTCAGGCGGTAACACGCCGCGTCAGGCGGGTAACACGCCGCGTCAGGCGGTAACACGCCGCGTCAGGCGGTAACACGCCGCGTCAGGCGATAATACGCCGCGTCAGGCGATAACACGCCGCGTCAGGCGGTAACACGCCGCGTCAGCCGGTAACACGCCGCGTCAGGCGGTAACACGCCGCGTCAGGCGGTAATACGCCGCGAAAAGTATTACGCCGTGTCAGGCGGTAACACGCCGCGTCAGGCGGTAACACGCCGCGTCAGGCGGTAACACGCCGCGTCAGGCGGTAACACGCCGCGTCAGGCGGTAACACGCCGCGTCAGGCGGTAACACGCCGCGTCAGGCGGTAACACGCCGCGTCAGCCGGTAACACGCCGCGTCAGCCGGTAACACGCCGCGTCAGCCGGTAACACGCCGCGTCAGGCGGTAACACGCCGCGTCAGGCGGTAACACGCCGCGTCAGGCGGGTAACACGCCGCGTCAGGCGATAATACGCCGCGTCAGGCGGTAACACGCCGCGTCAGCCGGTAACACGCCGCGTCAGGCGGTAACACGCCGCGTCAGCCGGTAACACGCCGCGTCAGCCGGTAACACGCCGCGTCAGGCGGTAACACGCCGCGTCAGCTGGTAATACGCCGCGTCAGGCGGTAACACGCCGCGTCAGCTGGTAATACGCCGCGTCAGCCGGTAACACGCCGCGTCAGGCGGTAACACGCCGCGTCAGGCGGTAACACGCCGCGTCAGGCGATAATACGCCGCGTCAGCCGGTAACACGCCGCGTCAGCCGGTAACACGCCGCGTCAGCCGGTAACACGCCGCGTCAGCCGGTAACACGCCGCGTCAGCCGGTAACACGCCGCGTCAGCCGGTAACACGCCGCGTCAGCCGGTAACACGCCGCGTCAGGCGGTAACACGCCGCGTCAGCTGGTAATACGCCGCGTCAGCCGGTAACACGCCGCGTCAGGCGGTAATACGCCGCGAAAAGTATTACTCGAACTCTGAGGCTCTTACCTGAAGCCGTGCGAGTGATGTGCGACTTGCTTCTGTGTTGCCGGGAGATACTGGAGAGTGGGCGGGGCTTATCCCTAATGGGGTCGTCCTGAGGGGGGGGCATCACACTCTAAACACAGACAGAACCAAAGCAATTAGATTCTACTGGGCTTCAGAACTGGGTCTTAGTTACTAGGCAACCAGCTCAGACTGATCCGGTCCGGGTGGTTCTGAACTGAACCGGGCTGAAGGTTCGGTTTAAACGGGTCAATTTAATCAAATCTTCAGAGTTTAATCTGCAGCTTTGATGAAAGATGGTTCTGACCCAAAAACAGGACAGGAAGCAGAAGCCGGGCCCTGCAGAACCAGAACCTTCGGCTGAGGAACCACAGAACCGACGACCCAGATTCTGTTGGGTCAGACCCAGAACCCTGAGGTCCGGTTCTGACCCGATAAGCACCCAGAGGAGGCGGCGAACGCTGCAGCAGGTCAGGGTGATGCTGCAGCCTCCGCCGCTCAGGGAGGGGGGGGGGAGAAAGAGAGCAGCGGCCTACCAGAGAAGAGATGGAGGGAGAGGAGGAGGAGGAGGAAGGCTGCAGGAGGCTCTGCTGGAGGAGGAGGAAGGCTGCAGGAGGCTCTGCTGGGAGGAGGAGGAAGAGGAGGCCTCCTTCTGCAAGAAGGCGCCGGCCGATGCCGACGTCATGTGATAGATGTGCTCAAAGTTGGAGGGGGGGGAGATGAGGGTGTGACGGGAGGAGGAGGAGGAGGGAGAAGGAGAGGGGGAGGGTGAGAGGGAGGTGAGGTCACCAACCTGAACATGAAAGAGAGGAAGAGGAGGAGGAGGAAGGAGTCAGTGATGAACAGAGGAGGAGGAGGAGGAGACGGCATGCAGGGAGGAAGAGGAGGAGAAGGAGGAGGAGGAGTTACCAGGGGGAGGTCCATCAGGACCTGCATGCCGTCTCCTGGTCCCATGTGGGCCACGTGGTTGAAGTTGGTGGGATTGGAGATCATCCTGGACCGCAGCTCCGGGTCCTTCAGCATCTCCCTGGAAACGGAGAAAGAGGCGGAGCTTCAGAGGAAGAACAGAGAACCTTCGCCGTTCTGACCCCCCCATCCTGACCCCCCCCCGCTCCATCCAGGAGACCCAGAGTGGACCGGTTCTGCAGCTCGTTCTGGGACCAGCTGGCTTTTATCTTTAGGAAGCTCTAGAACCATTTCAGGTTTTCCTGTCGACCATCGCACCCCCCCCCAGCCCCCCAGCCCGGTTCCCACCTCCTCTGCTGGAGCCGCTCCTCCTCAGGAACCTTGAAGAGGAACTTCCTTTTGCTGCGGGTTCGAACCATCAGCTTTCTGCTGTGGTCAGACGTCTGTGGGATGGTGAGGTCTCCCTCTGCAATGGGAGAAGGGTGAGCGGGTTCTGCTGATTCTGCCGGGTCCAGCAGTGTGGAGGCGCTTACCTGAGGAGGTGTTGCTGAAGTAGACCAGGCGAGGAGGTTCTGAGCTCAGCAGGTTCAGCGTTCCCTCAACATTCAGCGGGCGGAACTGGTGAGAGAGAGAGGCGAGGTTGGTTAGCGGCTCTGGGCTCTGATTGGCCGCTAGAGCCGGGCTCCCATTGGCCGCTGGAGCCGGGCTCCCATTGGCCCCTGGAGCCGGGCTCCCATTGGCCCCTGGAGCCGGGCTCCCATTGGCCCCTGGAGCCGGGCTCCCATTGGCCCCTGGAGCCGGGCTCCCATTGGCCGCGGGAGCCGGGCTCCCATTGGCTGCTAGAGCCGGGCTCCCATTGGCCGCCGGAGCCGGGCTCCCATTGGCCGCGGGAGCCGGGCTCCCATTGGCCGCCGCAGCCGGGCTCCCATTGGCTGCTAGAGCCGGGCTCCCATTGGCCGCCGGAGCCGGGCTCCCATTGGCCGCCGGAGCCGGGCTCCCATTGGCCGCCGGAGCCGGGCTCCCATTGGCCGCCGGAGCCGGGCTCCCATTGGCTGCTGGAGCCGGGCTCCCATTGGCCGCCAGAGCCGGGCTCCCATTGGCCGCCAGAGCCGGGCTCCCATTGGCCGCCGGAGCCGGGCTCCCATTGGCCGCGGGAGCCGGGCTCCCATTGGCCCCTGGAGCCGGGCTCCCATTGGCCCCTGGAGCCGGGCTCCCATTGGCCCCGGGAGCCGGGCTCCCATTGGCCCCTGGAGCCGGGCTCCCATTGGCCGCGGGAGCCGGGCTCCCATTGGCCGCGGGAGCCGGGCTCCCATTGGCCCCTGGAGCCGGGCTCCCATTGGCCCCTGGAGCCGGGCTCCCATTGGCTGCTAGAGCCGGGCTCCCATTGGCTGCTAGAGCCGGGCTCCCATTGGCCGCCGGAGCCGGGCTCCCATTGGCCGCGGGAGCCGGGCTCCCATTGGCTGCTAGAGCCGGGCTCCCATTGGCCGCCGAAGCCGGGCTCCCATTGGCTGCTAGAGCCGGGCTCCCATTGGCTGCTAGAGCCGGGCTCCCATTGGCCGCCGGAGCCGGGCTCCCATTGGCCGCCGGAGCCGGGCTCCCATTGGCCGCGGGAGCCGGGCTCCCATTGGCCGCGGGAGCCGGGCTCCCATTGGCCGCCAGAGCCGGGCTCCCATTGGTTACCTTGCGGAGACAGATGGTCTGGACCCACTGGCTGCTGTGGATGTCGAACACGTCCACGCCGTACTCGCTGTAGACCGTCAGGTGGAACGAGTTGGAACCTGAGGACAGAACAGAAACATTGGTTCAGTTGGACGTCCCACAGCATGACACTCCAGGCGCCATGCGTCAGAGAGCAGAAGCGGTGACGTACAGCAGGCCAGCGGCGTGGCGGGCCACATCAGCTCTTGGTCCCGGGAGCGCCGGCCCTGTCCGTCCACGTAGACTCCCAGCTGGCTGAAGCAGAGCAGGACCTCGCTGGAGCCCACCTCCAGGGCGTGCAGGGCGTCCATGGGCTGCTGGGACAGGAAGGCCAGAGATGGGTCGCCCGGGTTCACCAGGCTGATGGGGGATGACTCCCCCTGCAGGGCCAGCAGGGCGAAGCCTGACGGGTAGCCCACACACAGCCGGTCCCGCAGCATGCCTAGCCACTGGACCGTGCCTGGAGCCTGCACCTCCCACAGCTTCTTATGGTACGGCTTGGCCCGGGTGATCTCATAGCACTGGACCTGTGGGGGCCACACAGAACCGAGACTTCAGAACCGGACCTCGCACACGGACCTGCGGCGGGTGGGGGCGGCCCTGACCTGACGTTTGGCGGCAGCCAGCAGGCAAGCAGGACCTCCGGGTCGCAGCACCCCTGTGGTCAGAACCTGGCAGTTCTTGGTGTCTGCCAGCTTGGTGTCGAAGGAGGACTCGGCTCCGTCCAGAACCCCCCAGGGGTGGAGGTGGACCTGGCGGTTTCGGCCACAGAGCAGAGCGACGATCTTCTCGTTGGGAATGAGCTCGATCTGATAAACCTTCTTACTGTCTGAGGCTCTGACGATGACTACGGCGAGACGACGAAGAGCAGGTCAGAGACTGAGCGCTCCGCCCAGGGCGTAGATGATAGAGGTCTGTTACTCACCGTCTCTGGTGACCTCCACCACAAACAGTCCGTCCTCCGTTCCCATAGCGATCCGCTCCCTGTCTGCAGGAGGAAGAGACATCAGCCAATCACTGAGCAGAGGGGGCGGGGCTGAGGCTTAACACCGTCCCCACGTGAACTTGCCTCCTTGAAGCTATAAAAACTGAACGCACTAAACGAGCTGAAGGTTCTGAACGCGCTAAACGCCTGAAAGAGCTAAGTGCCCTGAACGCGCTAAACGTAGGGTGACCACCCGTCCCGCGTACTGCGTGCGCGCACAGCGTTTGAAGCCCAATTCATTCGTCCTGCAAATTGAGACCGTGTCACGCATAATCAATGCAAGAAATATGAAAAAGCTTATGGTCGTCAAGTTGTGCTTACTCTCATATGACAGCAGATGGCAGTGAAAGCCCAAATTCATGAGATTAAACGTTTGAAGTCAATTTTTAAACGTCTTTCTACCACTTTTTTGTGATTTGAATCATCAGTGGCCGGTCTAAACATTTTCCAAGAATGCAGCCAGAACGCGCGGTGACGTAAAAAAAGCGCGCTCGCGTAAAATACCAGTTGGAATTGCGCATTATTGTACTTTTATACTTATGTAGTGAAAGAGATGGTGCACGCTCCAACAAGAAATACAACTTCAAGAAGAAACCTGAAGGTAAGAAACCTAGATACACTATATTGCCAAAAGTATTTGCTCACCTGCCTTGACTCACATATGAGCTTAAGTGACATCCCGTTCCTAATCCATAGGGTTCAATATGACGTCGGTCCACCCTTTGCAGCTAGAACAGCTTCAACTCTTCTGGGAAGGCTGTCCACAAGGTTTAGGAGTGTGTTTATGGGAATTTTTGACCATTCTTCCAGAAGCGCATTTGTGAGGTCGCACACTGATGTTGGACGAGAAGGCCTGGCTCTCAGTCTCCGCTCTAATTCATCCCAAAGGTGTTCTATCGGGTTGAGGTCAGGACTCTGTGCAGGCCAGTCAAGTTCATCCACACCAGACTCTGTCATCCATGTCTTTATGGACCTTGCTTTGTGCACTGGTGCACAGTCATGTTGGAAGAGGAAGGGGCCAGCTCCAAACTGTTCCCACAAAGTTGGGAGCATGGAATTGTCCAAAATGTCTTGGTATGCTGAAGCATTCAGAGTTCCTTTCACTGGAACTAAGGGGCCAAGCCCAGCTCCTGAAAAACAACCTCACACCATAATCCCCCCTCCACCAAACTTTACACTTGGCACAATGCAGTCAGACAAGTACCGTTCTCCTGGCAACCGCCAAACCCAGACCCGTCCATCAGATTGCCAGATGGAGAAGCGCGATTCGTCACTCCAGAGAACGCGTCTCCACTGCTCTAGAGTCCAGTGGCGGCGTGCTTTACACCACCGCATCCGACGCTTTGCATTGCACTTGGTGATGTATGGCTTGGATGCAGCTGCTCGACCATGGAAACCCATTCCATGAAGCTCTCTGCGCACTGTTCTTGAGCTAATCTGAAGGCCACATGAAGTTTGGAGGTCTGTAGTGATTGACTCTGCAGAAAGTTGGCGACCTCTTCGCACTATGCGCGTCAGCATCCGCTGACCCCGCTCCGTCAGTTTACGTGGCCTACCACTTCGTGGCTGAGTTGCTGTCGTTCCCAAACACTTCCATTTTCTTATAATACAGCTGACAGTTGACTGTGGAATATTTAGGAGCGAGGAAATTTCACGACTGGATTTGTTGCACAGGTGGCATCCTATCACAGTTCCACGCTGGAATTCACTGAGCTCCTGAGAGCGACCCATTCTTTCACAAATGTTTGTAAAAACAGTCTGCATGCCTAGGTGCTTGAATTTATACACCTGTGGCCATGGAAGTGATTGGAACACCTGATTCCAATAATTTGGATGGGTGAGCAAATACTTTTGGCAATATAGTGTATGTAAGACGCCATTAGTCTAAGATGAAGTTAACATTGGTGGGCGGTTCTACAGGGGTGCAAATGCGTCACTTTTAGGAAACAGTAGCCTTTTAGATCAAAATATGTCATTGTTTTGCATAGGATTGTATTTTGGCACCTTTTTGTATTGTTTTGTATTGTGATGGTGATGGGTTTGCACTCCTCAGTCTGTACTGGAAAACCATTAGGAAGCTTATCATAAATTAATTCTGTCTCTTATCTTTCTTTCTTATTTTATTCAGATGCTGGTGACAATTCCTGTTAATCCATTAATTTCAAATCATAATTTATTTAAAGTGAATAAATTGTAATAAAAAATAAATAAAATTGAATAGCTAAAGTAAATCGGAATTGGAAGTGCATCTGTTCATTGAATGTTCAAAGTATTATGAATCTTTATTTAGAAAGAAATACACCTTGGTTGGCCTATTCATGAGCATTCATCAGCAATTACATGTTTATGGGAATAGGACATCATTAATAAACCATGTAAGGTGGTATGTGCTAGAAATGTGTAAACCTCTATCAGTGAGTCTGCCCGTGAGGTGGGGGCACCGCTGCACCAAGCACTGTCCCACTTTGTCCCCCAGAAACATACCCCTGGTCCCCCCTTGGGCTTATTAGCAGGTGGTCACCCTAGCTAAACGCCCTGAAAGAGCTAAGAGCTTGTAACGTGTTGAACGCTCATACTGTGCGGGACGCTCTAAACACTCTCAACTCCTTGGACGCCCTGAACGCGCGGGACGCCCTGAACGCGCGGGACGACCTGAACGCGCGGGACGCCCTGAACGAGCGGGACGCCCTGAACGAGCGGGACGCCCTGAACGCGCGGGACGCCCTGAACGAGCGGGACGCCCTGAACGCGCGGGACGCCCTGAACGAGCGGGACGCCCTGAACGAGCGGGACGCCCTGAACGCGCGGGACGCCCTGAACGAGCGGGACGCCCTGAACGAGCGGGACGCCCTGAACGCGCGGGACGCCCTGAACGAGCGGGACGCCCTGAACGCGCGGGACGCCCTGAACGCGCGGGACGCCCTGAACGTGCGGGACGCCCTGAACGCGCGGGACGCCCTGAACGGCGGGACGCCCTGAACGTGCGGGACGCACTGAACGAGCGGGACGCCCTGAACGCGCGGGACGCCCTGAACGCGCGGGACGCCCTGAACGAGCGGGACGCCCTGAACGCGCGGGACGCCCTGAACGTGCGGGACGCCCTGAACGTGCGGGACGCCCTGAACGCGCAGGACGCCCTGAACGTGCGGGACGCACTGAACGAGCGGGACGCCCTGAACGCGCGGGACGCCCTGAACGCGCGGGACGCCCTGAACGAGCGGGACGCCCTGAACGCGCAGGACGCCCTGAACGTGCGGGACGCCCTGAACGCGCGGGACGCCCTGAACGTGCGGGACGCCCTGAACGAGCGGGACGCCCTGAACGCGCAGGACGCCCTGAACGTGCGGGACGCCCTGAACGAGCGGGACGCCCTGAACGCGCGGGACGCCCTGAACGAGCGGGGCGCCCTGAACGAGCGGGACGCCCTGAACGCGCGGGACGCCCTGAACGAGCGGGACGCCCTGAACGCGCGGGACGCCCTGAACGCGCGGGACGCCCTGAACGAGCGGGACGCCCTGAACGCGCGGGACGCCCTGAACGAGCGGGACGCCCTGAACGCGCAGGACGCCCTGAACGTGCGGGACGCCCTGAACGCGCGGGACGCCCTGAACGCCCTTAACGTGCCGTACGCTCTCAAAGTGCCGAATGCTCTGAACGGTGTGTGAGCTCATGAACGCGGTTATGAGGAGCTGGATGTTCAGGAAGAACCCGTCCATCAGGACATGACGGATCATCTGAACCACCTGAACGCCAACAGAACCAGACCTCTGGACTCTCCAGTACTCACCGAGTACGGTGGCGCACAGCGCCGCCTTAATGAGGGGCAGCGAGGCGTCGTACGCTTCGTGCAGCAGGTGGACCTGCTGACTCTTCACCTGGTTCTTGGTCAGGATGTTCTGCAGGCTCTCCAGGATCCGGACCCATTTCTTCTTCTCTGCCTCGCTCTCTGCCAGAACCAGCAGGGACACGGAGGAGAGCTGCGAAATCAGCTGAGACGACGTCACCTGCAACATCATCGACCGTTAGGAGCTGGAAGGTGCGGCAGGAGCCGCGCCTGCTGCGTTTCCTACCTTGAAGATGCACGGGATGTCCTTCCTGGTGGCATGGATGACGTCGGACGCCAACACGGAGCTGACGGACAGATCTTCATCTCTGGAACAAAGCGGTTGATGAAACCAGGAACAGGTGAGGAAGGATCAACCTGCTGCCTCCAGGCGGCTTACCTGAGGTCCAGAACCAGACTGGCCGCCACGCCCGGCTGGGTGGACTTCCCCTCTGGAATGTCGTAGAGAAACAGTTTACAGTCGGAGGCCACGGCGAACGCTCGCTGCCAGCCCTTCTTCACGCCGCTGGGCTTGGGGATCTGCCAGAGGACAGTTTAGTGTGGAACCGTAGCGGATCATCCTGCTCCTGCAGCTAGCCGCCTTACCTTGACGTAACCCTTGTACGCCGTGCCGATGCCCCTCTGGACGTCGATGCCCTGCGGCCTCTTGGCCTGCTCCGCTGGGATCGGACAGATTAGGGGGGCGTGGTCTTTACAGGCGACATGGCATATGAAGGAGCAGACTGAAGGCAGAGAGACGGAGCATCAATCATCCTTCTCTAAAAACCACCCAGAGTTTGGATCAGAACCAGACGTACCTTCGCAGGCGTAGCCCTGGCGGCTCAGGCCCACCATCAGGGAGGTGCAGTGAGAGCAGAGGGTGGGGCTGGAGAAGGTTCTGATGCTCAGCTGGTGAGCTTTGGGCTGAAACACAGGAAACAGCTGCTTCAGCTTCATCACGCCTCTGATGGACCAGAACTTTATGGGTCCAAATCAGGCAAATCTAAAGCTGAGACACTTTGAATTCCAGGAAACACGCTGGTCCATAGTAGAGTTCATTTCGTCATTCCGAACGAAAACGAGACTAAAATCCCCACTAATGAACGATAACTGGGAGTAAATCAGAAATAATTTTCGTGGACTAATAAAGACGAGACGAAAATGCAGTTCGGTAAATAAAGACTGGACTAAAATCTTTGGACATTTTAGTTCACGAACAAAGACGAGACGAAAATTACATATTATTATTTTATGTTTTTTTCGAATCCTCTCCACCTTTCTCGTTAGCTCGCCCACTTTCAAACCTGGAGCGGGCGGCGGACCCAGAGTAGGCTAACCAACACATGGAGCAGACAGCAGCTGGATTCACGGCGACAGGTTAAAAGTAAAACATGCTTTGCCCGGAGCTCAGGAGAAAGAGGAGACGTGATCTATGGACACATTTTCACTTCATTGAAGTGGAGAACAAAACCAAATGCTTGATTTTAGTGGAAGGGAAGGAATGTGGCCACATGGTAGCTGGCGGTAACTGGAAAAAACACAACAAACATGTTGTTTTTTTAACAACATTGACCTCAAATGTACTTATTTTATTATTCTATGGGAACTAGCTTTAAACAGCCAGGACTTGAGTAAAGTTCATAAGACACTTTATTTTATTTATTTGTAATCCTTTGTCAGGTTTATTTTATTTGTTTTAATGCAAGCATTTGTGTTTGTGTCTTTGAACCTTAATGTTCAAAATAAATATGCAAATATTGTCAGAACATCTTCCATGTCTGCATTTGTTCCTTAATATCGTGTTTTTTATCAAAAAGATGAGAGAAAATGTGAAATAATTTTAGGAAATGTTAAATATTATCTGCTGACAAAAAAGTAAAAGGTTAAAATTATGTCCTGACTAAAACTAGACTAAAATGTTGATGGTTTTTGTTGACTAAAACTAAACAAATAAAATTATGTTTTCTTGGACTAAAATAAAGACTAAAATGCTCTGACTTATAGTCGACTAAAACTAGACTAAATAAAAATGGGATGATGTCGACTAAATGTGATAAAAACTAACAAGAGATGCTGAAACTGGACTAAAACTAAAACTAAATTTAAAAATAAAAATTAACACTAGTCCAAAGCAAACCGGATGTTTTCTGAGGCGGAAGGCTCTAAAAGAGCCGCCATTGTTCACCGCCGGCCGGTTCCAGCCTGCAGCGCCGCTTCCCTCGCCTGCTTCTAACCGCCGGCCGGTTCCAGCCTGCAGCGCCGCTTCCCTCGCCTGCTTCTAACCGCCGGCCGGTTCCAGCCTGCAGCGCCGCTTCCCTCGCCTGCTTCTAACCGCCGGCCGGTTCCAGCCTGCAGCGCCGCTTCCCTCGCCTGCTTCTAACCGCCGGCCGGTTCCAGCCTGCAGCGCCGCTTCCCTCGCCTGCTTCTAACCGCCGGCCGGTTCCAGCCTGCAGCGCCGCTTCCCTCGCCTGCTTCTAACCGCCGGCCGGTTCCAGCCTGCAGCGCCGCTTCCCTCGCCTGCTTCTAACCGAAGACCAGCTGAGGTCTAAAGAGAACTCCACTAATCCACCTGAAACGGGCGGGTCCTGGCGGCGTACCTTGGGTGCAGGCGAGCTCTGGTAGGTGGGGGAGGGGCTGTCAGGGAGCGATGCTGCCTTCCCTTCCTGTTGACAAAGAGCAGAGCAGTTAGCTAACGAAGCTTTCGCTGCACACCGTGGAACTGTGGGCGGATTACCTCATTCTCAGAGACGGAGCACGGCGAGGAGGGCGCCGTGTCTGGCTTCAGGGGGGCGGAGTCTAAGTCTGCAGTCTGAGAACGACAGAAGGGGGGAGCTTTTAGGAGGACAGAGCAGATCCTGAATCTTCTGAGGAGGAACCACACAGGAACAAAGAGCTAGACATCCTAGTGTGGGAGGGGCTATGTGAGGGGGCGTGGCCTCATTAGTGAACAGCTACAGCCGAGGTTAAAGTGACTGGAGAAGGCAGACGGGCTCAAACCCGCTGGGAAAAACGTACTTCTTCCCAAAGAGCGAGCAGCGAGGAGGCGGAGCTAAGCGCCATTTAGCACCTGGATTAGAGCAGCGCTGCTGGTGATTGGTCAGCGCCGCGGCAGGAGGCTTACCTTAAAGCTGAGGTCTGGAGCCAGAGGAGACGTGTTGAAGTAATCAAAGATGGAGTCCTGGAAGTCCGGAAGCTTCAGACCTGCAGAGACTCAGAGTTCAACACGGATCCCACCTGGAGGAGAACTTCTGAGGAGGCGCCCTCACCTTTAGCAGAACGGGAGCGACTCTCCTCCATCTCCCTCCTCAGACTCTCCACCTGCTCCACCGCCTCCCGCCTCTTCTCCTCAGACTCCTTCAGCTTACTGTAGACAGACGGGAAAAGCTGGATCAAGACCGACCCGTTACAACCGTCTCTGAAACCACGGCGACCCTGGGTGACCTCTGACCTCTCCAGGTTGATGTTGGCGGCCTTGAATCGGCGCAGCTCCTCCTGGACCATCTGCTTGGCTTTCAGTTCGGCGTCCAGAGCCGACTGCAGCTCCAGACGAGCCGACATGTCCAGCTTCTGGCTTCGACGCACCTTCCACAGGGGGTCCTGCAGGGGAGAGACAGCAGAACCTGTTTCTGCAGCTTCTATAATCACGGCTCTAGATACCTGATGGAGGAGATCAGCTGGAAGCTCCAGCGGTCCACAGCTGACCAGACTGGAGTCTGAACCTGAACCGCTCTTTGGCCTCAGATGGAGCCTCAGGTTCCCCTCATTGGGCCCCTAGATCAGGGCCGCCTAGAATGGGCCCGTCTAGATCAGGCCTGCCTAGAATGGGCCCGTCTAGATCAGGCCTGCCTAGAATGGGCCCGTCTAGATCAGGGCCGTCTAGATCAGGGCCGCCTAGATCAGGGCCGCCTAGAATGGGCCCGTCTAGATCAGGCCTGCCTAGAATGGCCCAGATTGATCAGCCACCCAGCTCTACAGGAACCAGCACTCCTCCCTCCAGTGACCCATCGATGGTCCACATGGAGCTGCAGGTCCATCAAACTCTAGACCAATAGGAGGCCAGCGCCTCTGAGAAGGCGTGGCCTCTGCTGACCCAGGCCGGTTCTGATGTCACCAGCGGGTCAAATAACGCTCTGCCTCCTTCACAATAAAAGCCTGTGTCTGGCTGGATCCTAAAACATGAGCTGGACCCAAAGGCCTGCGTTTCTGAGCGGTCCTGAGCGGTTCTGGGCGGTTCTGAGTGGTTCTGGGCGGTCCTGGGTGGTTCTGAGCGGTCCGGTTCGGTACCTGAGGTCTGCTCCCCAGGCTGTAGCTGCGCAGCGACTCCAGCTCCTCCGTCATCTTGGTGGCCAAGGCCTGCAGGTAGCCGCGGGCGTCCTTCTCGTCGCTGACCCTGAGCACAGAAACCAGCAGCTTAGAGGCACAGCTCCCCCTGGTGGGCGGCGGTTCTGATGACACGGGTCACTCACCACTGGATGATCTCTGCGATCTGGGCCTCCCAGTGGGACACGCTCTCCTTCTTGGAGGACAGGTCCTGCAGGTCGTCCTCCAGCTGCCGGTTCTGGGCCGTCAGGTTGTCCACGAAGGAACACAGCTGCAGGAGAGGATGGGATTAGAACCGGGCCGCCGCTGGTTCTGGTCGGGGTTCTGCAGCCGCTCACCTTGTCCGTCTCCGCCGTCAGCTTGCGGTTCTCCTCGGTCAGCATGTTCTTCTCGCGCTCGTGTTTCTCCTTCAGAGCCGCCACGGCCTCGTCCATCTCGTTCTGCCTGCAGAGTCACACACACAGCCGGTTCAGAACCGGAGCCGGACCGGGACCCGAACCAGAACCCCCGTCCTCCAGGACTCGCCTGTCCCTGTTGGCTTTGTCCAGCTTGTCTCGGAGCTGCAGCAGCTCCTTGTTGGCGGCGAGCCGCGCCCCCTCGGACTCCTGCAGGTCTTTGCGCAGAGTCTTGATCTCGCCGGAGTGGGCGGAGTCCTTCCTCAGCAGCTCCTCCTCGTAGAACAGAACCTTCTTGTCCAGCTCCGCCTTCAGACGGGACAGCTCCTGCTGAGACTCCGCCCCTCCTCCGCCTGCCGCCCCTCGACCCTGCTGGGACTGAAAGCAGAATGGGGCTGACCCTGAGGGCCGTGCTGAGGTCCTGACAGAGGGGAGGCGGTTCTGCCTCCTCACCTTAAGGCTGCGTAGCTCCGCCTCCAGCTGTTTGGAGTAAACCTCGCCGTTTTCCCGCAGCTTCCTCTCCTTTGATGACTCCGCCTTGGCCTCGTCCAGCTGAGCCTCCAGCTGCCAAACACACAGACAGCAGGACTCTTATTGTGAAAGGAGCAGGAGCTCTGGCTCCCTCTGGTGGCCAAAGCACAGCTTTATTGTGACTCTTATTTTGGAGAGACTCCTCACCTCCTTCCGATTCTTCTCCGTCTTGCGGATCTCCAGCCTCAGGGCGTCCATCTTCTGCAGGAGGGCGTCCATCTCCTCCTCCTTGTCCCTGAGCTGACGGGACAGACGCTGCTTGGAGGAGCGCAGCTCGGCCATGCGCTCCGACAGCTCTGAGAACTCCTGCAGGGCCAGCTTCCTCTGGGAGTGCGCCTCCTTCAGCTCCTTGCTCTGGCTCCTGAGACGCTCCAAGGAGTCGGCCAGCTGCTGCTCGGAGGAAGAGGAGGGTGGAGATGAAGGCTGAGGCCGCGGGGACAGAAGCGGACGAGGACGGCGCCGTTTACCTTGTGGACGTCCTCCTTCTCCTGTCTCAGGGTCTTCACCTGTCTCTCCAGGGTCTGCAGTTTGGAGGCGGAGCTCTCGTAGTCCTGTCTGAGCGTGACGGCCTCCTCCAGCTGGTGCTCCAGCCTATCAGAGTCTGACACATCACAGGACAGCGGATCAGGACCCAACCGGGCCTCAGACACCAGAACTCTGAGACCGCCACCTTCTGACCTGCCAGCTTCTTCTTCAGACGCTCGATCTCCTCGTTAAGTTTCTTGATCTCTTTGTCCCTCTGTACGGTTCCTCCTCTGGGCGGAGCCTGCAGGGCCTGGGTGGACTCTGGGGGTCAGAGACGGAACCGGGCCGGGTCAGAACCGGAGCAGAGACAGGGTCAGAGACGGAAACGGACCGGATTAGAACCGGAACAGAGACGGAAACGGACCGGATTAGAACCGGATCAGGGACGGAAACGGACCGGATTAGAGACAGAAACGGACCGGATTAGAACCGGAACAGAGACGGAAATGGACCGGATTAGAACCGGATCAGAGACAGAAACGGACCGGATTAGAACCGGAACAGAGACGGAAACGGACCGGATTAGAACCGGATCAGAGACAGAAACGGACCGGATTAGAACCGGAACAGAGACGGAAACGGACCGGATTAGAACCGGATCAGGGACGGAAACGGACCGGATTAGAGACAGAAACGGACCGGATTAGAACCGGAACAGAGACAGAAACGGACCGGATTAGAACCAGATCAGAGACGGAAACGGACCGGATTAGAACCGGGGCAGAGAGGGAAACGGACCGGATTAGAACCGGATCAGGGACGGAAACGGACCGGATTAGAACCGGATCAGAGAGGGAAACGGACCGGATTAGAACCAGATCAGAGACGGAAACGGACCGGATTAGAACCGGATCAGGGACGGAAACGGACCGGATTAGAACCAGATCAGAGACGGAAACGGACCGGATTAGAACCGGATCAGAGAGGGAAACGGACCGGATTAGAACCAGATCAGAGACGGAAACGGACCGGATTAGAACCGGATCAGAGAGGGAAACGGACCGGATTAGAACCAGATCAGAGACGGAAACGGACCGGATTAGAACCGGATCAGAGAGGGAAACGGACCGGATTAGAACCAGATCAGAGACGGAAACGGACCGGATTAGAGACAGAAACGGACCGGATTAGAACCGGATCAGGGACGGAAACGGACCGGATTAGAGACAGAAACGGACCGGATTAGAACCGGAACAGAGACGGAAACGGACCGGATTAGAACCGGATCAGGGACGGAAACGGACCGGATTAGAGACAGAAACGGACCGGATTAGAACCGGAACAGAGACGGAAACGGACCGGATTAGAACCAGATCAGAGACGGAAACGGACCGGATTAGAACCGGGGCAGAGAGGGAAACGGACCGGATTAGAACCGGATCAGGGACGGAAACGGACCGGATTAGAACCAGATCAGAGACGGAAACGGACCGGATTAGAACCGGATCAGAGAGGGAAACGGACCGGATTAGAACCAGATCAGAGACGGAAACGGACCGGATTAGAACCGGATCAGAGAGGGAAACGGACCGGATTAGAACCAGATCAGAGACGGAAACGGACCGGATTAGAACCGGATCAGAGAGGGAAACGGACCGGATTAGAACCAGATCAGAGACGGAAACGGACCGGATTAGAGACAGAAACGGACCGGATTAGAACCGGATCAGGGACGGAAACGGACCGGATTAGAGACAGAAACGGACCGGATTAGAACCGGAACAGAGACGGAAATGGACCGGATTAGAACCGGATCAGAGACAGAAATGGACCAGATTAGAACCAGATCAGAGACGGAAACGGACCGGATTAGAACCGGAACAGAGAGACGGAAACGGACCGGATTAGAACCGGATCAGGGACGGAAACGGACCGGATTAGAGACAGAAACGGACCGGATTAGAACCGGAACAGAGACGGAAATGGACCGGATTAGAACCGGATCAGAGACAGAAATGGACCAGATTAGAACCAGATCAGAGACGGAAACGGACCGGATTAGAACCGGAACAGAGAGACGGAAACGGACCGGATTAGAACCGGATCAGGGACGGAAACGGACCGGATTAGAGACAGAAACGGACCGGATTAGAACCGGAACAGAGACGGAAACGGACCGGATTAGAACCAGATCAGAGACGGAAACGGACCGGATTAGAACCGGAGCAGAGACGGAAACGGACCGGATTAGAACCGGATCAGGGACGGAAACGGACCGGATTAGAGACAGAAACGGACCGGATTAGAACCGGAACAGAGACGGAAACGGACCGGATTAGAACCAGATCAGAGACGGAAACGGACCGGATTAGAACCGGATCAGAGAGGGAAACGGACCGGATTAGAACCGGATCAGAGACGGAAACGGACCGGATTAGAACCGGATCAGAGAGGGAAACGGACCGGATTAGAACCAGATCAGAGACGGAAACGGACCGGATTAGAGACAGAAACGGACCGGATTAGAACCGGAACAGAGACGGAAACGGACCGGATTAGAACCGGATCAGAGACGGAAACGGACCGGATTAGAACCAGATCAGAGACGGAAACGGACCGGATTAGAGACAGAAACGGACCGGATTAGAACCGGAACAGAGACGGAAACGGACCGGATTAGAACCGGAACAGAGACGGAAACGGACCAGATTAGAACCGGATCAGGGACGGAAACGGACCAGATTAGAGACAGAAACGGACCGGATTGGAACCGGATCAGAGACAGAAATGGACCAGATCAGAGACGGAAACGGACCGGATTAGAACCAGATCAGAGACGGAAACGGACCGGATTAAATGGTAAATGGTAAATGGCATGTACTTATATAGCGCCTTTATTCAAGTTAGGAGACTTGACCAAAGCGCTTTACACTACATTCATTCACCCATTCACACACACACTCACACACTGATGGTGGCAAGCTACATTGTAGCCACAGCTGCCCTGGGGCTCACTGACAGAAGCGAGGCTGCCGTACACTGGCGCCACCGGGCCCTCTGACCACCATCAGTAGACAATGCAGGTGAAGTGTCTTGCCCAAGGACACAACGACAATGAAAGTCGGAGTCGGGGCTTGAACCGTCAACCCTTCGATTACAGGGCAAACTCCTCCATCCAACGCCACTGTCGCCCGGATTAGAACCAGATCAGAGACGGAAACGGACCGGATTAGAACCAGATCAGAGACGGAAACGGACCGGATTAGAACCGGAACAGAGACGGAAACGGACCAAATTAGAACCGGATCAGGGACGGAAACGGACCGGATTAGAGACAGAAACGGACCGGATTAGAACCGGAACAGAGACGGAAACGGACCGAATTAGAACCAGATCAGAGACGGAAACGGACCGGATTAGAACCAGATCAGAGACGGAAACGGACCGGATTAGAACCGGATCAGAGACGGAAACGGACCGGATTAGAACCGGATCAGAGAGGGAAACGGACCGGATTAGAACCGGATCAGAGAAGGAAACGGACCGGATTAGAACCAGATCAGAGAAGGAAACGGACCAGATTAGGACCAGATCATAGACGGAAACGAATCTGATTAGAATCAGATCAGAGACTGGAACGGACAGGATTAGAACCAGATCAAAGATGGAAACGGACCGGATTAGAACCAGATCAGAGAAGGAAACGGACCAGATTAGAACCAGATCAGAGACGGAAACGAATCTGATTAGAATCAGATCAGAGAAGGAAACGGACCAGATTAGAACCAGATCAAAGACGGAAACAGACCGGATTAGAACCAGATCAGAGACGGAAACGAACCGGATTAGAACCAGATCAGAGAAGGAAACGGACCGGATTAGAACCAGATCAAAGACGGAAATGGACCGGATTAGAACCAGATCAAAGACGGAAACAGACCGGATTAGAACCAGATCAGAGACGGAAACGGACCGGATTAGAACCAGATCAGAGAAGGAAACGGACCGGATTAGAACCAGATCAAAAACGGAAACAGACCGGATTAGAACCAGATCATAGACGGAAACAGACCGGATTAGAACCAGATCAGAGACGGTAATGGACCGGATTAGAACCAGATCAGAGACGGAAACGAACTGGATTAGAACCAGATCAGAGAAGGAAACGGACCGGATTAGAACCAGATCAAAGACGGAAACGGACTGGATTAGAACCAGATCAGAGATGGAAACGGACCGGATTAGAACCAGATCAGAGACGGAAACAGACCGGATTAGAACCAGATAAGAGACGGAAACGGACCGGATTAGAACCAGATCAGAGACGGTAATGGACCGGATTAGAACCAGATCAGAGACGGAAACGAACTGGATTAGAACCAGATCAGAGAAGGAAACGGACTGGATTAGAACCAGATCAGAGACGGAAACGGACTGGATTAGAACCAGATCAGAGAAGGAAACGGACTGGATTAGAACCAGATCAGAGAAGGAAACGGACTGGATTAGAACCAGATCATAGACGGAAACAGACCGGATTAGAACCAGATCAGAGACGGTAATGGACCGGATTAGAACCAGATCAGAGACGGAAACAAACTGGATTAGAACCAGATCAGAGAAGGAAACAGATCGGATTAGAACCAGATCATAGACGGAAACAGACCGGATTAGAACCAGATCATAGACGGAAACAGACCGGATTAGAACCAGATCAGAGATGGAAATGGACCGGATTAGAACCAGATCAGAGACAGACCCTGACCGGATCAGGACCAGGCTGGGTCAGACCTCCTCTGGCGCTCCTCACCCTGCAGTCTGCGGTTCAGCTCCTGCTTCTCCTGCTCCAGGCGGCGGATCCTTTTCTCGAACACCTCCACCTCCGACCCGGCGCCTCCGTCTGGCTCGGTCCGGACTCCCGGCGCCGCCCGGCTGATGGTGCTGCGGTCGGAGAAGCAGCTATCGGTGGTGAAGGTGAAGCCCACGAAGGGGAGGTGCTGCCCGGTGAAGCCGGTGTGAGACACAGGAGGTCCGATGTCCTGGAGACACAACAGAACCAGAACCGTGAACCAGCAGTAGAGTTAAAGGTTCTGGTTCCCCACCGGCTGCCGGGCCTCACCGGGTTCTTCAGAACGTCGTCGTCCACGTCAAAGTTAGACGTGTCTGTGGGCGAGGACACGTCCGGGATGTAGGGCGCCTCGGCGGAGCGGATGTTGTCCCAGTCGATCCCGCTGAAGAACGGGTGGTTCTGAAAGTCCGAGATCCCGTTGAGTCCGAGGCGCCGCTCCCGGGAGCACAGCAGGCGCTGGATCAGGTCCTTGGCGTGTTCAGACACGTCCGTCACATGGGACGGGAACTGGAAGCGCTCCTGAAAACAGGACAACAGGAAGCCGACTGAGGGGACATGTCCCAGTTAGTAGACAGGAAGTAGGACAGGAGTCTGGAGGCAAATGTGTGACCTGGAAACCAAACGACGCCCGACGGTAATCTGATTACTGTGTGTGTGTGGTGGGGGGGGGGTGAAGGATGAAAGATAGAAGGAAGGAAATAGGGGGGGGGTGAAGGATGAAAGATAGAAGGAAGGAAATATGGAGGAGGGGGGGGGTCCAGCCAGCGTTCCTAGAACCTGCGGCTCCAGGCGGTTCTGACCTCGTGGTTCATGATCTTGCCGTAGGTCTCCACCAGCGACTCGGCGTAGAACGGCGTCTCGCCGTACAGCATCTCGTACATGCAGACCCCCAAAGACCACCAGTCACACTCTGGACCATAGCGACCCATCCCGTCCTCCATGGCCTGCAGGATCTCTGGGGAAATGTAGTCAGGGGTTCCCACGGCAACAGAGGACTGGACCTGCAGCGAGCAGAGGAGGAGAAGTCATCATCATCATCATCATCATCATCATCAGGCGGAGCGTCTCCTCACAGAGAGGAGAACCTCAGAACCTCAGAGCTTCAGTCAGTCAGTAGAACCAGCATGGCGCTCTTATTTTGAAAGAGGAAGGAAATGAAACTGGATCTCTTTTCCGCTTCTTTTCTCTCCTTTTCCCTTCCTTCATTTCTTCCCCTCCCTCCTCCCCCCCTTCCTTCCTTCCTTCCTCTCCTCCCGTTCTTCCCTCTCCTGTCCTGCTGGGTGAGGAGCAGTACTCTCCCTCCCCATCAGAACCACCAGCGTTCCTCTGGATGGTGTGTGTGCAGAAGTGGGCGGGGTCAGCAGGCTGTGCAGAAGTGGGCGGGGTCAGCAGGAGGTGGCTTACCGTGCCGTCCTCCATCATGCGCAGACAGGAGCCAAAGTCAGCGAGTCGGATGTGTCCGTTGACGTCCAGCAGAACGTTGTCTGGTTTGATGTCTCTGCAGAACAAAGAAGGAGCACTGTGAGCAGGAGGAGCTCCACCAGGGGGAGGAGCTCCACCAGGGGGAGGAGCTACACCAGGAGGCAGAGGGAGGAGCTCCACCAGGGGGAGGAGGGAGGAGCAGACGTACCTGTGGATGTAGTGCTGCTGGTGGATGGAGTGGACGGCCAGAACCATCTCTGCTACGTAGAAGCGCGCCATGTCTTCAGGGAGACGGTCCTCAAACTTACTGAGCAGCGTCAGCAGGTCTCCGCCCACGTAGTAGTCCATCACCAGGTACTGCAGAACAGAACCGACCCGGTTAGCCGGCGCCACCAGGACCAGCACAGGGAGAAACACACTGGACCCACCAGGAAGTTGTCGTCCTGAAAGGCGTAGTGCAGAGTGGTGATCCACTGGCTGTCCCCTCTCACCAGGACGTCCCGCTCCTCCCGGAAACACGCCGTCTGCACCGACAACACGTTAGCAACACGTTAGCAGCACGTTAGCAGCACATTAGCAGCACGTTAGCAACACGTTAGCAGCACGTTAGCAGCACGTTAGCAGCACGTTAGCAGCACGTTAGCAGCACGTTAGCAACACCTCAGCAACACGTTAGCAACACGTTAGCAACACGTTAGCAGCACGTTAGCAACACCTCAGCAACACGTTAGCAACACGTTAGCAACACGTTAGCAGCACGTTAGCAGCACGTTAGCAGCACGTTAGCAACACGTTAGCAACACGTTAGCAACACCTCAGCAACACGTTAGCAGCACGTTAGCAACACGTTAGCAGCACGTTAGCAGCACGTTAGCAGCACGTTAGCAGCACGTTAGCAGCACCTCAGCAACACGTTAGCAGCACGTTAGCAACACGTTAGCAGCACGTTAGCAACACGTTAGCAGCACGTTAGCAGCACGTTAGCAACACGTTAGCAGCACGTTAGCAGCACGTTAGCAGCACCTCAGCAACACGTTAGCAACACGTTAGCAGCACGTTAGCAGCACGTTAGCAGCACGTTAGCAACACGTTAGCAACACCTCAGCAACACGTTAGCAGCACGTTAGCAACACGTTAGCAACACGTTAGCAGCACGTTAGCAACACGTTAGCAGCACGTTAGCAACACGTTAGCAGCACGTTAGCAACACGTTAGCAACACGTCTGGAATGCGTCAGCCACGCATTAGGGACACGTTAGAGACGTGTCCCTAATGCGTGGCTGACGCGGCAGAGGAGGATGAAGGCGGGACTGACCTCGGCTCTCTTCAGCATCTCCCACTTGTTGAGGATCTTCATGGCATAAACTCTCTCAGTGTTCTTCATCTTCACCACGGCAACCTGCAGGGAGGGACACACCAGGACAGACGTTAGGACGGAGGACATCTGAGGACATATTAGGACTGAGGACAGACGTTAGGACGGAGGACATCTGAGGACATATTAGGACTGAGGACAGACGTTAGGACGGAGGACATCTGAGGACAGATAATCTGGTTCTACGTCAGAGCGAGCCAGCCGCACCTTCTAGATGTTCTGGTTCTACGTCAGAACGAGCCGGCCGCACCTTCTAATCTAGATGTTCTGGTTCTACCCTCAGGACGATCTAGAGAACAAAGGCAGACACACCCTCCCCCGCGGCTCAGAGCTCAGACTCTACTGTAGAACAGGCCGGTCCTCAGAAGAGCAGCAAGAGGCTCAGAGTGTGTGTGAGCACCACACCTTTCCTCTGGAATGTGAACAACGGATCTAGCTGCTGAAGTTCTACGGGTCAAAGAACCCGTCAGCTGCAGAACTACGGGGCTCTGAACAGGAAGTCCAGGAAGCGCCGACATCCTGCTGGTTCTGGTCCAATCCACATCCTTCCTTCTGCTGGTTCCTCTGCCTGCGGCCAATCAGAGAGCGGCCTGCAGGAACAGAACCACGTCCTGCCTAGACCCAGTGACTGGATCAGAACCACGTCCTGCCTAGACCCAGTGACTGGATCAGAACCACGTCCTGCCTAGACCCAGTGACTGGATCAGAACCACGTCCTGCCTAGACCCAGTGACTGGATCAGAACCACGTCCTGCCTAGACCCAGTGACTGGATCAGAACCACGTCCTGCCTAGACCCAGTGACTGGAACAGAACCACGTCCTGCCTAGACCCAGTGACTGGATCAGAACCACGTCCTGCCTAGACCCAGTGACTGGATCAGAACCACGTCCTGCCTAGACCCAGTGACTGGAACAGAACCACGTCCTGCCTAGACCCAGTGACTGGAACAGAACCACGTCCTGCCTAGACCCAGTGACTGGAACAGAACCACGTCCTGCCTAGACCCAGTGACTGGATCAGAACCACGTCCTGCCTAGACCCAGTGACTGGATCAGAACCACGTCCTGCCTAGACCCAGTGACTGGATCAGAACCACCCCCTGCCTAGACCCAGTGACTGGATCAGAACCACGTCCTGCCTAGACCCAGTGACTGGATCAGAACCACCCCCTGCCTAGACCCAGTGACTGGATCAGAACCACGTCCTGCCTAGACCCAGTGACTGGATCAGAACCACCCCCTGCCTAGACCCAGTGACTGGATCAGAACCACCCCCTGCCTAGACCCAGTGACTGGATCAGAACCACGTCCTGCCTAGACCCAGTGACTGGATCAGAACCACCCCCTGCCTAGACCCAGTGACTGGATCAGAACCACGTCCTGCCTAGACCCAGTGACTGGATCAGAACCACGTCCTGCCTAGACCCAGTGACTGGATCAGAACCACGTCCTGCCTAGACCCAGTGACTGGATCAGAACCACGTCCTGCCTAGACCCAGTGACTGGATCAGAACCACGTCCTGCCTAGACCCAGTGACTGGAACAGAACCACGTCCTGCCTAGACCCAGTGACTGGATCAGAACCACGTCCTGCCTAGACCCAGTGACTGGATCAGAACCACGTCCTGCCTAGACCCAGTGACTGGATCAGAACCACCCCCTGCCTAGACCCAGTGACTGGATCAGAACCACCCCCTGCCTAGACCCAGTGACTGGATCAGAACCACGTCCTGCCTAGACCCAGTGACTGGATCAGAACCACGTCCTGCCTAGACCCAGTGACTGGATCAGAACCACCCCCTGCCTAGACCCAGTGACTGGATCAGAACCAGACATGAAGACCAACCTGACGCCTCACAGAAAGTTCTGGTTCTGAAGCGCTGGCAGGTGTTCGGTACCGGTCTGATGATCAGAACCGGGCCGAGGTTTGGAATCCACAGGGAGGGTGGGTCACGGTTCTAATATCGGCTCAACATCCAGGACCAGAACCCTTTAGTGCACACATCCTCGGTCCTGGGGGGCCCACTGTCCCTGAGGGCCCCTGTCCTGGGGGGCCCCTGTCCCTGAGGGCCCCTGTCCTGCAGCCCCGCTGTCCCTGAGGGCCGCTGTCCTGGAGGGGCCCCTGTCCCTGAGGGCCCCTGTCCTGCAGCCCCGCTGTCCCTGAGGGCCCCTGTCCTGGAGGGCCCCTGTCCCTGAGGGCCCCTGTCCCTGAGTGCCCCTGTCCCTGAGGGCCCCTGTCCTGCAGCCCCGCTGTCCCTGAGGGCCGCTGTCCTGGAGGGGCCCCTGTCCTGGAGGGCCCCCTGTCCTGGAGGGCCCACTGTCCCTGAGGGCCCCCTGTCCTGGAGGGCCCCTGTCCCTGAGGGCCCCTATCCCTGAGGGCCCCTGTCCTGGAGGGCCCACTGTCGTGGAGGCCCGCTGTCCCTGGAGGCCCGCTGTCCCTGAGGGCCGCTGTCCTGGAGGGGCCCCTGTCCTGGAGGGCCCCCTGTCCTGGAGGGCCCCTGTCCCTGAGGGCCCCTATCCCTGAGGGCCCCTGTCCCTGAGGGCCCCTATCCCTGAGGGCCCCTGTCCTGGAGGGCCCCCTGTCCCTGAGGGCCCCTATCCCTGAGGGCCCCCCTGTCCTGCAGGTTTTAGAGGTTTCCTGCTTCAGCACAGATGATTATAATTGAAAGCTGATTAACAGGCTTTGCTCCACTGCTCATTATAACCAGCTGTGCTGAAGCAGGAAACCTCTAAAACCTGCAGGACAGGGGGGCCCTCAGGGACAGGGGCCCTCAGGGATAGGGGCCCTCAGGGACAGGGGCCCTCCAGGACAGGGGGCCCTCAGGGACAGGGGCCCTCCAGGACAGGGGGCCCTCCAGGACAGGGGCCCTCAGGGACAGGGGCCCTCCAGGACAGGGGCCCTCAGGGATAGGGGCCCTCAGGGACAGGGGCCCTCCAGGACAGGGGGCCCTCCAGGACAGGGGCCCTCAGGGACAGGGGCCCTCCAGGACAGGGGCCCTCCAGGACAGGGGGCCCTCCAGGACAGGGGGGCCCTCAGGGACAGGGGCCCTCCAGGACAGGGGGCCCTCAGGGACAGCGGGCCTCCACGACAGTGGGCCCTCAGGGACAGCGGGCCCTCAGGGACAGCGGGCCCTCAGGGACAGTGGGCCCTCAGGGACAGCGGGCCTCCACGACAGTGGGCCCTCAGGGACAGCGGGCCTCCAGGGACAGCGGGCCTCCACGACAGTGGGCCCTCAGGGACAGCGGGCCTCCACGACAGTGGGCCCTCAGGGACAGCGGGCCCTCAGGGACAGTGGGCCCTCAGGGACAGTGGGCCCTCCACGACAGTGGGCCCTCAGGGACAGCGGGCCTCCAGGGACAGCGGGCCTCCACGACAGTGGGGCCCTCAGGGACAGCGGGCCTCCACGACAGTGGGCCCTCAGGGACAGCGGGCCCTCCAGGACAGTGGGCCCTCCAGGACAGGGGGCCCTCCAGGACAGGGGGGCCCACAGGGACAGGGGCCCTCCAGGACAGGGGGCCCTCAGGGACAGCGGGCCTCCACGACAGTGGGCCCTCAGGGACAGCGGGCCCTCAGGGACAGCGGGCCCTCAGGGACAGTGGGCCCTCAGGGACAGCGGGCCTCCACGACAGTGGGCCCTCAGGGACAGCGGGCCTCCAGGGACAGCGGGCCTCCACGACAGTGGGCCCTCAGGGACAGCGGGCCTCCACGACAGTGGGCCCTCAGGGACAGCGGGCCCTCAGGGACAGTGGGCCCTCAGGGACAGTGGGCCCTCCACGACAGTGGGCCCTCAGGGACAGCGGGCCTCCAGGGACAGCGGGCCTCCACGACAGTGGGCCCTCAGGGACAGCGGGCCTCCACGACAGTGGGCCCTCAGGGACAGCGGGCCCTCCAGGACAGGGGGCCCTCAGGGACAGGGGCCCTCAGGGATAGGGGCCCTCAGGGACAGGGGCCCTCCAGGACAGGGGCCCTCAGGGACAGCGGGGCTGCAGGACAGGGGCCCTCAGGGACAGGGGCCCCTCCAGGACAGCGGCCCTCAGGGACAGCGGGGCTGCAGGACAGGGGCCCTCAGGGACAGTGGGCCCTCAGGGACAGCGGGCCTCCACGACAGTGGGCCCTCAGGGACAGCGGGCCCTCAGGGACAGCGGGCCCTCAGGGACAGCGGGCCTCCACGACAGTGGGCCCTCAGGGACAGCGGGCCCTCCAGGACAGTGGGCCCTCAGGGACAGTGGGCCCTCCAGGACAGTGGGCCCTCAGGGACAGCGGGCCTCCACGACAGTGGGCCCTCAGGGACAGCGGGCCCTCAGGGACAGTGGGCCCTCAGGGACAGTGGGCCCTCAGGGACAGTGGGCCCTCAGGGACAGCGGGCCCTCAGGGACAGTGGGCCTCCACGACAGTGGGCCCTCAGGGACAGCGGGCCCTCAGGGACAGTGGGCCCTCAGGGACAGTGGGCCCTCAGGGACAGTGGGCCCTCAGGGACAGCGGGCCCTCAGGGACAGTGGGCCTCCACGACAGAGTTTGGGGACGCCTGCTTTGGTGGACCGGGTCCTGCAGGTTCTGGGTCTCTGGGGCCGCATGTCTGACCCGTAGGTTCTGGTGCTGAAGGTCCGGTTCTGATCAGATCTGGACCTCAGTTTGGGCCTGGTTGACTTCTGGGCTCGTTCGTGTGTTGACACACTTCTGAGAACTTCTAGAGTACTACATCTATGTCTAAGGATGGATCTTTGCAGCTGGACACCATCAGCAGAGAACATCTAGAATTATACATCTATGATAAGCCTGGAGGTGGATCATCAGCAGAGAATACTAGAAGTAAAGATCTATGATGAGACAGAGGACGCATTTTCACAGAACATCTAGATTCATGGCTCTATGACAAGTCGGAGAACGGATGGTTGCTGACGAATGCCATGGCATAGAACGTCTGGAACTATAGATCTATGACGGGTCAGATGACATATTGCGGTTTTAGTTTCCTGCCGTAGCCGTCTGCAGCTGGATGAAGGGAGGAACGTTCACAGCTGGAAAACATGGAGGAAAGGAGAGAAAGATCCGGATCAGGAGCTCACCTCGCCGAAGGCTCCTCGTCCAATCACCTTCAGCATCTCGAAGTCGTCTCTCTTCAGCCGCATGTCCTTCACCCTGCTGGTGAACGGCTTCACTGCACAAACACAAGGAGAACTTTCAGAACCAGAACCACCCAAAGACAAGCACTAGGACCCAGCAGCTGGTCTGGAGTCACGACCTGAAGGAGAGACCAGTACAAAACACCTCAGCCAAGGAACCGGACCCTACAGAACCCCAGGAACCGGACCCTACAGAACCTTAGGAACCGGACCCTAACCCAGGCGGAACCCCACAGAACCTCAGGAACCGAACCTGAGGCCAGGTGGAACCCCACAGAACCTCAGGAACCGGACCTGAGGCCAGGTGGAACCCTACAGAACCTAAGGAACCGAACCTGAGGCCAGGTGGAACCCCACAGAACCTCAGGAACTGGACCTGAGGCCAGGTGGAACCCTACAGAACCTCAGGAACCGGACCTGGGGCCAGGCAGAACCTCAGGAACTGAACCTGAGGCCAGGTGGAACCCCACAGGACCTCAGGAACCGGACCTGAGGCCAGGCGGAACCTCGGGAACCGGACCTGAGGCCAGACGGAACCCTACAGAACCTCAGGAACCGAACCTGAGGCCAGGCGGAACCCCACAGAACCTCAGGAACCGGACCTGAGGCCAGGTGGAACCCTACAGAACCTCAGGAACCGGACCTGGGGCCAGGCAGAACCTCAGGAACTGAACCTGAGGCCAGGTGGAACCCCAAAGAACCTCAGGAACTGGACCTGAGGCCAGGTGGAACCCTACAGAACCTCAGGAACCGGACCTGGGGCCAGGCAGAACCTCAGGAACTGAACCTGAGGCCAGGTGGAACCCCACAGGACCTCAGGAACCGGACCTGAGGCCAGGTGGAACCCCACAGGACCTCAGGAACCGGACCTGAGGCCAGGCGGAACCTCGGGAACCGGACCTGAGGCCAGACGGAACCCTACAGAACCTCAGGAACCGAACCTGAGGCCAGGCGGAACCCCACAGAACCTCAGGAACCGGACCTGAAGCCAGGTGGAACCCCACAGAACCTCAGGAACCGGACCTGAGGCCAGGCAGAACCCCACAGAACCTCAGGAACCGGACCTGAAGCCAGGTGGAACCCCACAGAACCTCAGGAACCGGACCTGAAGCCAGGTGGAACCCCACAGAACCTCAGGAACTGAACCTGAGGCCAGACGGAACCCTACAGAACCTCAGGAACCGAACCTGAGGCCAGACGGAACCCTACAGAACCTCAGGAACCGGACCTGAGGCCAGGCAGAACCCCACAGGACCTCAGGAACCGGACCTGAGGCCAGGTGGAACCCTACAGAACCTCAGGAACTGAACCTGAGGCCAGACGGAACCCCACAGGACCTCAGGAACCGGACCTGAGGCCAGGTGGAACCCCACAGGACCTCAGGAACCGGACCTGAGGCCAGGTGGAACCCTACAGAACCTCAGGAACTGAACCTGAGGCCAGACGGAACCCCACAGGACCTCAGGAACTGAACCTGAAGCCAGGTGGAACCCCACAGGACCTCAGGAACCGGACCTGAGGCCAGGTGGAACCCCAAAGAACCTCAGGAACTGGACCTGAGGCCAGGTGGAACCCTACAGAACCTCAGGAACCGGACCTGGGGCCAGGCAGAACCTCAGGAACTGAACCTGAGGCCAGGTGGAACCCCACAGGACCTCAGGAACCGGACCTGAGGCCAGGTGGAACCCCACAGGACCTCAGGAACCGGACCTGAGGCCAGGCGGAACCTCGGGAACCGGACCTGAGGCCAGACGGAACCCTACAGAACCTCAGGAACCGAACCTGAGGCCAGGCGGAACCCCACAGAACCTCAGGAACCGGACCTGAAGCCAGGTGGAACCCCACAGAACCTCAGGAACCGGACCTGAGGCCAGGCAGAACCCCACAGAACCTCAGGAACCGGACCTGAAGCCAGGTGGAACCCCACAGAACCTCAGGAACCGGACCTGAAGCCAGGTGGAACCCCACAGAACCTCAGGAACTGAACCTGAGGCCAGACGGAACCCTACAGAACCTCAGGAACCGAACCTGAGGCCAGACGGAACCCTACAGAACCTCAGGAACCGGACCTGAGGCCAGGCGGAACCCCACAGGACCTCAGGAACCGGACCTGAGGCCAGGTGGAACCCTACAGAACCTCAGGAACTGAACCTGAGGCCAGACGGAACCCCACAGGACCTCAGGAACCGGACCTGAGGCCAGGTGGAACCCCACAGGACCTCAGGAACCGGACCTGAGGCCAGGTGGAACCCTACAGAACCTCAGGAACTGAACCTGAGGCCAGACGGAACCCCACAGGACCTCAGGAACTGAACCTGAAGCCAGGTGGAACCCCACAGGACCTCAGGAACCGGACCTGAGGCCAGGTGGAACCCCACAGGACCTCAGGAACCGGACCTGAGGCCAGGTGGAACCCCACAGGACCTCAGGAACCGGACCTGAGGCCAGGTGGAACCCCACAGGACCTCAGGAACCGGACCTGGGGCCAGGCAGAACCTCAGGAACTGAACCTGAGGCCAGGTGGAACCCCACAGGACCTCAGGAACCGGACCTGAGGCCAGGTGGAACCCCACAGGACCTCAGGAACCGGACCTGAGGCCAGGCGGAACCTCGGGAACCGGACCTGAGGCCAGGCGGAACCTCAGGAACCGGACCTGAGGCCAGGTGGAACCCCACAGAACCTCAGGAACTGAACCTGAGGCCAGACGGAACCCCACAGGACCTCAGGAACTGAACCTGAAGCCAGGTGGAACCCCACAGGACCTCAGGAACCGGACCTGATGCCAGGTGGAACCCTACAGAACCTAAGGAACCGAACCTGAGGCCAGGTGGAACCCCACAGAACCTCAGGAACCGGACCTGAGGCCAGGTGGAACCCTACAGAACCTCAGGAACCGGACCTGGGGCCAGGCAGAACCTCAGGAACTGAACCTGAGGCCAGGTGGAACCCCACAGGACCTCAGGAACCGGACCTGAGGCCAGGTGGAACCCCACAGGACCTCAGGAACCGGACCTGAGGCCAGGCGGAACCTCGGGAACCAGACCTGAGGCCAAGCAGAACCCTACAGAACCTCAGGAACCGGACCTGAGGCCAAGCAGAACCCTACAGAATCCCAGGAACCGGACCTGAGGCCAGGCAGAACCCCGCAGGACCTCAGGAACCAGACCTGAGGCCAGGTAGAACCCCACAGGACCTCAGGAACCGGACCTGAGGCCAGGCGGAACCCCACAGAACCTCAGGAACCGCACCTGAGGCCAGGCAGAACCCCGCAGGACCTCAGGAACCAGACCTGAGGCCAGGTAGAACCCCACAGGACCTCAGGAACTGGACCTGAGGCCAGGTAGAACCCTACAGAATCCCAGGAACCGGACCTGAGGCCAGGCGGAACCCCACAGAACCTCAGGAACCGCACCTGAGGCCAGGCAGAACCCCGCAGGACCTCAGGAACCAGACCTGAGGCCAGGTAGAACCCCACAGGACCCCAGGAAACAGACCTGAGGCCAGGCAGAACCTCGGGAACCGGACCTGAGGCCAAGCAGAACCCTACAGAACCTCAGGAACCGGACCTGAGGCCAAGCAGAACCCTACAGAATCCCAGGAACCGGACCTGAGGCCAAGCAGAACCCTACAGAATCCCAGGAACCGGACCTGAGGCCAAGCAGAACCCTACAGAATCCCAGGAACCGCACCTGAGGCCTGGCAGAACCTCAGGAACCGGACCTGAGGCCTGGCAAAACCTCAGGAACCGGACCTGAGGCCATGCAGAACCCTCAGAACGGCCAGGCAGAACCCCACAGGACCTCAGGAACCGGACCTGAGGCCAGGCGGAACCCCACAGGACCTCAGGAACCGCACCTGAGGCCAGGCAGAACCCCGCAGGACCTCAGGAACCGCACCTGAGGCCAGGCAGAACCCCGCAGGACCTCAGGAACCAGACCTGAGGCCAGACGGAACCCCACAGGACCTCAGGAACTGGACCTGAGGCCAGGTAGAACCCCACAGGACCCCAGGAACCGGACCTGAGGCCAGGCAGAACCTCAGGAACCAAACCTGAGGCCAGACGGAACCCCACAGAACCTCAGGAACCGAACCTGAGGCCAGGTGGAACCCCACAGGACCTCAGGAACCGGACTTGAGGCCAGGTGGAACCCTACAGAACCTCAGGAACCGGACCTGAGGCCAGAAGGAACCCCACAGAACCTCAGGAACCGGACCTGAGGCCAGGTGGAACCCTACAGAACCTCAGGAACCGGACCTGAGGCCAGGTGGAACCCCACAGAACCTCAGGAACTGAACCTGAAGCCAGGTGGAACCCCACAGGACCTCAGGAACCGGACCTGAGGCCAGGTGGAACCCCACAGGACCTCAGGAACCGGACCTGAGGCCAGGTGGAACCCCACAGGACCTCAGGAACCGGACCTGAGGCCAGACGGAACCCCACAGGACCTCAGGAACTGGACCTGAGGCCAGGTAGAACCCCACAGGACCCCAGGAACCGGACCTGAGGCCAGGCAGAACCTCAGGAACCAAACCTGAGGCCAGACGGAACCCCACAGAACCTCAGGAACCGAACCTGAGGCCAGGTGGAACCCCACAGGACCTCAGGAACCGGACTTGAGGCCAGGTGGAACCCTACAGAACCTCAGGAACCGGACCTGAGGCCAGAAGGAACCCCACAGAACCTCAGGAACCGGACCTGAGGCCAGGTGGAACCCTACAGAACCTCAGGAACCGGACCTGAGGCCAGGTGGAACCCCACAGAACCTCAGGAACTGAACCTGAAGCCAGGTGGAACCCCACAGGACCTCAGGAACCGGACCTGAGGCCAGACGGAACCCCACAGGACCTCAGGAACCGGACCTGAGGCCAGGTGGAACCCCACAGGACCTCAGGAACCGGACCTGAGGCCAGGTGGAACCCTACAGAACCTCAGGAACTGAACCTGAGGCCAGACGGAACCCCACAGGACCTCAGGAACTGAACCTGAAGCCAGGTGGAACCCCACAGGACCTCAGGAACCGGACCTGAGGCCAGGTGGAACCCCACAGGACCTCAGGAACCGGACCTGGGGCCAGGCAGAACCTCAGGAACTGAACCTGAGGCCAGGCGGAACCCCACAGAACCTCAGGAACCGGACCTGAGGCCAGGTGGAACCCCACAGGACCTCAGGAACCGGACCTGAGGCCAGACGGAACCCCACAGGACCTCAGGAACCGGACCTGAGGCCAGGTGGAACCCCACAGAACCTCAGGAACCGGACCTGAGGCCAGGTGGAACCCCACAGAACCTCAGGAACCGGACCTGAGGCCAGACGGAACCCCACAGGACCTCAGGAACCGGACCTGAGGCCAGGTGGAACCCCACAGAACCTCAGGAACCGGACCTGAGGCCAGACGGAACCCCACAGGACCTCAGGAACCGGACCTGAGGCCAGACGGAACCCCACAGGACCTCAGGAACTGGACCTGAGGCCAGACGGAACCCCACAGGACCTCAGGAACCGGACCTGAGGCCAGGTGGAACCCCACAGGACCTCAGGAACTGGACCTGAGGCCAGACGGAACCCCACAGGACCTCAGGAACCGGACCTGAGGCCAGGTGGAACCCTACAGAACCTCAGGAACCGGACCTGAGGCCAGACGGAACCCCACAGGACCTCAGGAACCGGACCTGAGGCCAGGTGGAACCCCACAGAACCTCAGGAACCGGACCTGAGGCCAGACGGAACCCCACAGGACCTCAGGAACCGGACCTGAGGCCAGACGGAACCCCACAGAACCTCAGGAACCGGACCTGAGGCCAGACGGAACCCCACAGGACCTCAGGAACCGGACCTGAGGCCAGGTGGAACCCCACAGAACCTCAGGAACCGGACCTGAGGCCAGGTGGAACCCCACAGAACCTCAGGAACCGGACCTGAGGCCAGACGGAACCCCACAGGACCTCAGGAACCGGACCTGAGGCCAGACGGAACCCCACAGAACCTCAGGAACCGGACCTGAGGCCAGACGGAACCCCACAGAACCTCAGGAACTGGACCTGAGGCCAGACGGAACCCCACAGGACCTCAGGAACTGGACCTGAGGCCAGACGGAACCCCACAGGACCTCAGGAACCGGACCTGAGGCCAGGTGGAACCCCACAGAACCTCAGGAACCGGACCTGAGGCCAGACGGAACCCCACAGGACCTCAGGAACTGGACCTGAGGCCAGACGGAACCCCACAGGACCTCAGGAACCGGACCTGAGGCCAGGCAGAACCCTACAGAACCTCAGGAACCGGACCTGAGGCTAGCAAGGACCTTCAGCTCAACCATCCCTTTCATTTGGGTCAGAACTACAACAGAACCTGGTTCCAGGGGGTCCCAGGGAGACCCAGAGCATAATTTTCTGTTTAAGGTCACATGCATTCATCCATCTGATCCATTTAAACCAGAAACCAACAGAACCGGTCCAAAAGCTGTTCTGTGGGACAAACCGAGCCCAAACCAGAACCGCTCTCCATAGCGGGACAGAACCTGTTCCTGCTGGAGGACATGGGGACCCGATGGACCCTGAGGGACACGGTTCAGATGGACCGCTGGAGGTCCAAACCTTCACCTGATTCTGTCTGGATCAGAACCAGAAACAGGTGAGATCTCAGCTGTTCATCCGGACCTGATGTCTGGTTCTGGTTCTGGTTGGATCCGATGCGGATGGAAATCAGCAGCTCCTGGATCCAGGTCACTGAAATGAGGACAGCTGAGAAACTGGGCCAGACGGAACCAGGCCAGGCGGGCCGCTCCAGATGGACCCCGACCCACATCCACCAGCCAGGACCAGAACCTGGACCCAGAACCAGAACCAGAATTACCAGCAGAACCAAGAACCGGGTCCGGCTGGTTCTGGTCCAGTTGGACCATCCCTCACCTCCTCCCAGAACCAGAACCAGAACCTCCAGTCTGTGGTTCTGATGATCGGGTCCGGTCCCTGGACTGACGCATCCGGTCCGGTCCGGTCCGGTTCTTACCCCAGTTGAGGAAGTCGCTGATGTGCTTCTCCCTCTTCAGGGGGGAGTTGGAGCATTCGGAGCAGAGGCCGAGCAGGAGGTCCAGCAGCGCCTCCACGCTCAGGCTCCGCTCCTCCTTCCGCTCCAGCAGGAGCTCCTCCAGCCTCCTCAGCCGCTCCTGGGCCGACATCCCGGCCGGGTTGGGTGGCTCCTCCCCCCGCCGCTCTGACTCAGGCTGCTCCCTCCGCTTCCTGCTAGCAGCAGCTAGCCCGTTAGCTCCGGGAAAACATTCCCGACGTCTGGAGCCGCAGAGCCGCCGCCGTGTTCCGCCGCCTCCGCTCCGTCACCGGCGGGAATCCCAGCGGCTGTAATCCGGGATCAAATGTGGATTTCCTCTCCGGGATCGGGACGTCGTCAGGCGGACCTCCGCAGCTCCATGTCCGCCGGTCGGTCTGTGAGCCCGGGAGCAGGTCCAGCGGGTCCGAACCGGAACCGTCTGGACTTTAGAAGGTCCGTCGGAACCGAGCAGCAGCTTCCCGGGGATAAACGGCGGGTTTCGGGTCCGTTCGAGGCGGCTGCCGGTGTGGCTAAGCTCTGGGAATATGGCTGAATCCAGGTCGGAGGATCCAAAGCAGGAGCGACAGGATGAGCCCCGCTTCCGGTCAAAGCAGCTTCAAAATAAAAGCTTCGGACGCTCTCAGTTCATTCCTGCTGCTCTGAATGTAAACCTGCTGGTTTAACTTCTGATCCTTCAACTCATTAAATCAACTCTGTTGCTTTATAAAAAAGTCTAAATCGATCCTCTGGACTTTGTTTCCGAGTTTGATGCCGTTTCTCTTCCATCCAGGAAGCTTTTTCAATTCAAAGTGTCAGAAATAGCGTTTAGTTTCAGGTTTTATTCAGTTTTGGTTTAGAAAACGTGGGATTAAAATGAACGGACGGGTCCACCCCTTTGGAATGGGGGCCGCTTGCTTCTTTGTTACCCTGGTTTATACTCAGAAACCAGGTGGTCTGCGCGTGTCACAGTGAACGCAAATATGCCCCGCCCCTTCCGCAGACTCCCTGCTGTACCTCTCCCCAACTGTACGTGAGCGCAGACAGGAGGCCTCTGATTGGTCAAACCTACATCCGCTCTGCTCTATGCGTATTTCCTGTTTGGTTCCTTACTGGTTTGTTTCGTTTGTCTGACCTCCATTGTGGAAAACGACTGGTGAAGATGGAGCAGCTAGCAGAGCGAGGTGCATGAGAACGCTGGGACCTTTTTTCCACCTGGATCTCCGCTCTTTTTGGCCCTCATGTCCCTCCGTTGTTGGACAAACTTGCCCCCACTTCCTCACCGCCTCGGCCGTATCTAGACCCGCAGCTAGTTCCTGATTAACCCTCTGGCGTTGTGGCGTGGAATAACAGCGCAGACCACGCTTCAATGTTGAGCATAAATATAAAATATCTGCGACACGCTGCTGGGGGACGATAACGAGGACTTTAGGCTGCAATACCTGATACCTGTCTATGTCTCTGAAAGGGGGAGGGTCATTAGGGGGGATTGTTGGCCTGGCTGAACAGGTGATTTCTTCTGTTCCCCTGTAAAGAGGTGAGGTTGTGATGATAGCAAGAAGGAATAACTCTATCGCTGCATTGTAGATCTATAGATTGTAGATTTCAGTGATAGAGTTGATTCCCTCCCGCAGTGTTTTCCCCATGGGTTAAATGCAGAGAGTTCATTTCGTCGCTCTGTACTTGTGAAATCACTGTAAACCTGCTGGTCCTGCATTGAATGAAGCCTCTTCCCAGAGGGCAGCAGGGAGAACAGTCCATGGTGGGGGGGGTGAGGGGTCATTGATGATGTCACGGGCTCGGGACACGCAGCGCTGGGATGAAATGTCTTTAATGGCGGCCCCCTCTGTTTTATCATCAGTGTTTAATTTTAACCTAAACACAACCAGACAAAGTAAAAAACATCTGCTGAAAAACGTCAAACTTTGACTGGCGGCCATCTTGGAAGCAGCGGTCAGGAGCGAGCGTGAGCCGAGCTTCCTATCAGACGGCAGAATGAATGAACCAGTCGCAGATGTTCCCACCATGATTGTTTCCACTGTTTAATGTTGCCCCTTTATCCAGTCAGTGGATCGGTTTTACTTTACAGCAGTTTTTTTGTTGATACATGAATGTTGTAACAATGATCAAAGAACAGATCAAAGCTTAGTTTTTTACTGCAGACTTTGTTCCATGCTCTTATTCTGAAGGCCTAGCTACCGTGGGCGGAAGTGTGCGTCGGCATTTGTCGGATAAGTTGACATCCGTGTGTGTCTCTCCCAAAAGAACCCTCATGCCCCGCCCTCCTGCACCGGAAAGGCTCCAGATATGTGACGTCATGTGCTGATTGACAAGCGCAGGGAGAGACTGGTACACCCCCCCACCACACACACTGACATCATCATGTGACATCATCTGAATAAAGAAGTAAACAAGGAGAGCTGCCTGTTTCTGTTTATGACATAAAAACTCTATAATCATTTTATTCCTCTTTATTTGTATCTGTTCTTATTTTCATTAAAGTTTTTTTTAGTTTTAAATGTATTGCTTTTCCTTTTTTTTTAAACAGTTTAACAGTCTGATGGCGGTGAGGAGAGGCTGCTACAGGTGGGTTCTGTAACAGCTTTTTGCCCACCGCCATCAGACTGTTGAAAAACTGTAAATCATGTGATGAATGGAGACTCTGCTTCGCTCTCATTACATCATCTCTGCATCGTGACATCATCTCTGCATCGTGACATCATCTCTGCATCGTTACATCATCTCTTCATCGTGACATCATCCCTGAATCGTGACATCATCTCTGCATCGTGACATCATCTCTGCATCGTGACATCATCTCCGCATCGTGACATAATCTCTGCATCTTTACATCATCTCCGCATCGTGACATCATCTCTACATCATTACATCATTCCTACATCGTTACATCATCTCTGCATCGTGACATCATCTCTTTATCGTGACATCATCTCTTTATCGTGACATCACCTCTGCATCGTGACATCATCCCTGCATCGTGACATCATTTCTTTATCGTGACATCATCTCTTTAACGTGACATCATCTCTGCATCGTGACATCACCTCTGCATCGTGACATCATCCCTGCATCGTTACATCATCTCTGCATCGTTACATCATCTCTGCATCGTGACATCATCCCTGCATCGTTACATCATCTCTGCATCGTTACATCATCTCTTCATCGTGACATCATCCCTGCATCGTTACATCATCTCTGCATCGTGACATCATCCCTGCATCGTTACATCATCTCTGCATCGTTACATCATCTCTTCATCGTGACATCATCCCTGCATCGTTACATCATCTCTGCATCGTGACATCATCCCTGAATCGTGACATCATCTCTGCATCGTGACATCATCTCTGCATCGTGACATCATCTCCGCATCGTGACATAATCTCTGCATCTTTACATCATCTCCGCATCGTGACATCATCTCTACATCGTTACATCATTCCTACATCGTTACATTATCTCTGCATCGTGACATCATCTCTGCATCGTGACATCATCCCTGCATCGTTACATCATCTCTGCATCGTTACATCATCTCTTCATCGTGACATCATCCCTGCATCGTTACATCATCTCTGCATCGTGACATCATCTCCGCATCGTGACATAATCTCTGCATCTTTACATCATCTCCGCATCGTGACATCATCTCTACATCGTTACATCATTCCTACATCGTTACATTATCTCTGCATCGTGACATCATCTCTTTATCGTGACATCATCTCTTTATCATGACATCACCTCTGCATCGTGACATCATCCCTGCATCGTGACATCATTTCTTTATCGTGACATCATCTCTTTAACGTGACATCATCTCTGCATCGTGACATCACCTCTGCATCGTGACATCATCTCTTTATCCTGACATCATCTCTGCATCGTGACATCATTTCTTTATCGTGACATCATCTCTTTATCGTGACATCACCTCTGCATCGTCACATCATCCCTGCATCGTGACATCATCTCTGCATCGTGACATCATTTCTTTATCGTGACATCATCTCTTTATCGTGACATCATCCCTGCATCGTGACATCATCTCTTTATTGTGACATCATCTCTTTATCCTGACATCACCTCTGCATCGTGACATCATCCCTGCATCGTGACATCATCCCTGCATCGTGACATCATCTCTTTATCGTGACATCACCTCTGCATCGTGACATCACCTCTGCATCGTCACATCATCCCTGCATCGTAACATCATCTCTGCATCGTGACATCATTTCTTTATCGTGACATTATCTCTTTATCATGACATCATCCCTGCATCGTGACATCATCTCTTTATCGTGACATCATCTCTTTATCGTGACATCACCTCTGCATCGTGACATCATCCCTGCATCGTTACATCATCTCTGCATCTTTACATCATCCTTGAATCGTGACATCATCCCTGAATCGTGACATCATCTCTTTATCGTGACATCACCTCTGCATCGTTACATCATCTCTGCATCTTTACATCATCCCTGAATCGTGACATCATCCCTGAATCGTGACATCATCCCTGAATCGTGACATCATCTCTGCACTAAAAGCTGAATCTGCAAAATAAACTCAAATGTTTTTACTGCATTTTGCACCTAATCTATGTATTTATTTTTGCGCTGCTCTGAGCTTCCACTCCAATGCCTTTTAGCACCAGGTCTCTCCTACATTGGGCGACAGGAGTTTACCCTGCAATAGGAGGGTTGTCGGTTCAATTCCCAGCTCGGCTCAGTGTGGTTGTGTCCTTGGGCAAGACACTTCGCCTGCATTACCTCCTGATGGTGGCGCCAGCGTACGGCAGCCTGGCTTCTATCAGTGAGCCCCAGGGCAGCGGTGGCTACAGGGTAGTGTGTGAGTGAATGGCTGAATGTAAAGCGCTTTGCTCAAATGTCCTGACGTGAAGCAGCTCTATATTAGAAAAGGACATTTACACTGATCACTGCTGCACTTTATTAATGGAAACGTTCTTTTTCACTGCCAAGCTGCTCATTCACTGTTGGAAAGCTGGTTAAACCAAACCTCTTTTTGTGTTCACTCTGACTACAGAAAATGACTTTACAGTTTGTCTTAAACTTTGAGTTTAAAAAAATATATTCAAGATAGATTCAAAGTTTCATTTAATACAAAAATTATTAAGAAAAAATGATTGGTGCATCTTTTTACCTCTCTCACTACGTTCAGACTGCATGCGATAACAGCAGCTGAAGCAGCAGGTTTACTTACAAAGTCAACGGTTGACGAACATCAGAAGGTCCTGAAGCGTCCAGAGCAGCAGGAGCAGCGGGAGCAGCGGGAGCAGCAGGAGCACCAGGAGCACCAGGAGCTTCTGAGCATCTGAGACGCTTCAGAAGCAGCAGCTGCTGGAGGTGGAAAAATTTAACTTTAGCTGCTGGACATCAACCAATGAGAGAAGCTGATCTGGGAGCTGGCAGGGAGTCAGACGCAGCGCTGCTGATGCAGAGCGCTATGATCACTCCTCTGAAACAGTTTATTAACGCCTAAATTAACTTAGAATGTAGCTTAAAATGTGGGAGCCGCTCAGACCCCCCCCACAGCGCTGGTATG